ATATCCGTCTCGTCCCCGGTATCCTCCCCTTCGCTGGACCCACCCTCTCCTGCTCCTCCGCCCTCTCCCGCTCCTCCGCCCTCGCCTCCTTCTCCGCCCGCGCCGCCCTCGCCCCACACAATGGCAGCCCTGGCTGCTTTGCCGCCTGCCTTTTCAATCTCAGCAAGCTGCTCCTCCACCAGACGGAGGAAATTATCCTCGTCGCTGTCGGTCCCGGTAATGACAAAATCGTGAGAGGATAAGATAAGGTCGCTACCAGTGTCAGTTCCTACTGTGGCACCACCAGCACCCCCAGCCCCAGCCCCAGCGGCAGCAGCGCCAGCAGCAGCGGCTCCAGCAGCAGCAGCGCCAGCACCAGCAGAACCTGCTTCAACCTCCCCATCAGCATCAGCATCAGGCGGCATTAATGCCAGCGGACCCCCAGCAGCCCCAGCACCACCAGCAGCAGCCGCCCCTTCACCACCTCCCTCCCTCGTCGCCGCCTCCCTCTCCTCCCTCGTCTGCAGCCCCCACCGCCACAAAAACCTCGACAGCCACCCCCTACTGTACTTAAACCCCGGCTGAACCCCCAACCCGGGACCGATCCTCTTCGCATGGTCAATCATATCGTCCCTGGTAACCATCGCCTCGCCATGCTTCGCCCGCATCTCCTTCACCCACTCAGCTAGGGTTTCCTCTAGTGCGGCGTTCTCAGGGTCCCGCACGCGTTTGACGGCGTTCGCGTTGGTCTGGGCGCGCATCCAACGGTCACTATCCTGCAAGATCCGCGAGACCTGGTGGGTTCCTAGGGAGATGCCTGTGCTGGCCCGCACGGCGTCTATTATCGCGGACGCGCGCAGGCGCGGCTTGGCGCGCTTCAGCACGCAGATGGCGCGCTTCAGCTTCACTGTGATGTTGCGCCGCCGCTGGGGGGGTGGCGGCGGGGGATGGGGCGCGTGGGGAGGCGCGGAAGAGAGGTGCGCGAGTGCAGAGGACGTGTATGGGCCTTGAGAGGCGGAGAAAGTTGCTCCGGAAGGCACGAGCATGTGTGAGCCAGGCGCGTACACACCACCACCAGCAGCACCAGCAGCACCAGCAGCACCAGCAGCGCCAGAAGCACCAGCAGGAGCCGGCGTCCGTGCTACAGATCCGTCCAGCCCCAGAAGCACCTCCTCCGCTACAGCCTGCAGCTGCCCCTCCCCAACGGACTCTCCCCCACCCCCCAGCCCCCCCACACCAGCCCCCCCAGCCCCAGGAGCATAGTGCATGCCGCCCCCCCCAGCTCCCCCAGGCCCAGGAGCATACTGCCCGCCCCTGGATCCTGCCACGGCCACCACGACGCTGCTCCCCACCGCAGGGATGCTCGCCGCGGCGGCTAGAATATCCTCATCTGCCAGCTCAGCGAGCAGATCCGACGGCTCAGATGCGCGGCGAGCAGCTTCCTCCAAATCTAGCTGTTCATCCGCAAGCTCCAATAGGCTCCTGCTGTCGATGATGTGTGCGGCGCTGTCGGTGCCTCCCCCTCCGCCGTGAGAGGGGCCCGAGGAGGGGTCGAGGGGGTTGAAGTTGGCCTCCCTTGCTGCTTCCACCGCCTTGCGTGTCAGCCCCCAGCGCCTGAGGAAGCGCGAGATCCACCCGCGGCTGTACCTGTGGGTTGCATGAAGGCACAGGGACGAGAAGGGGAAGAAACAGAACAGAAAGGAACGGATTAAACTACATGAACGCTCCAGGAGGCTCCTGCTGTCTGTGATGTGTGCAGCGCTGTCAGTGGTCTCCAAGCTCCCCCCCTCCCCCTCCGCCGCCGTGCGAGGGGCCCGAGGAGGGGTCTAGGGGGTTGAAGTTGGCTTCCCTTTGCTGCTTCCACTGCCTTGCGTGTGAGCCCCCAGCGCCGGAGGAAGCGAGAGATCCACCCGCGGCTGTACCTGTGGGTTGCATGCATGCAGCCACAGGGACAAGAACGGGAAGAAACGGAACAGAACACACGAAAACACCACCAAAAAAGGCCACCAGTAAACAGGAGAGCAAATCCCAAAGCCAACGTTGACTTTCCTTAAGAAGGTGCCTGATAATCCCACACGAACAGATATTCAAAATCCGCTGCGAAAAGAACCAGCAACGCACGAACCTGAAGGAAGGCGGAACGCCCAGCGACGGGCCAATGTCCTTCGCATGCTCTAAGATGCAATCGCACGTCTTTTGAGACGTCGCAGAACTCACCTAAAGGATGCGGGAACGCCCAGCGACGGGCCAATGTCTTTCGCATGCTCCAAGATACGATCGCACGTCACGCGGAAGTCCCCTCGCGCCTTCATATCGCGCACCCACACCGCCAGAGCCTCCTCCAGCCGCACGTTGTGCGGCTGCCTCACGCGCTTGAAGTTCGCGGGCGCGCGCCCCCACTTGTGCTCGTCGCGCAGGATGCGCGGGATCTGCGACTCTCGCACGGTGGAGTTACCGTATTTCGCGCGTAACACCTGGCAGATCCCCGCCGCCGTGATCTTCGGCCGGGCGTTCTTAAGCGCGCAGATCTCCTGCTTGATTATCAGCTCCACAGCCTGCCGGTTCTTGCTGCGGCCGCGAAGCATGATCGGCTCCTCTTCGCCTTCCGACTCGCCTCCGGATATGTCCCCTTGACCGCCGCCGCCGGCGGCCATGGGGTCTCCGTGGGTTGCGACCATGGCGAGATCTTCGTTATGGCCGCCGTGATGTGCGGCGTGATCTCCGCTGTGGTAGCCCCCAGGATGTGCGCTGTGATGCGCTGCCGTCTGATGCTCTGGGATGGACGCGTGAGCTTCGTGCTGCTGCTGCTGTTGCTGCAGGTGCTGCTGCTGCTGGATAGACTCCTGAACTGGATGATGCTGCTGCTGTTGGTGGTGCTGTTGAATTTGCTGCTGGTGCTGCTGCTGCACGGCCTCATGTTCCGCCATGGCTGCATGGTGGTGGTGCTGGTGTAGGTGATGCTGATGCATGTGTTGCATCGACGCGTGCTGGTCCTCTCCCGCATAGTGCTGCATCGGAGGCCGTTCTTGTAGCGAATGGTGCTGTCGCATCGCCGCCGCAGCAGCGGCGTGCTCTTGTAACGCCGCGTGGTGCATCGCGGCGGCGTGTTCTTGCATCGAGGCGTGGTGCATCGCGGCAGCGTGTTCTTGTATCGAGGCGTGCTCCAACGCGGACGCAGCGGCGACAAGCACTCCCTGATTGGTCAAAACGCTTCCGTCAACGGTCACCATTCTCCCATCCGCTGTCATCACGACTTGACCATGCGGGATGCCCCCGGCAGCCATAACCCCCTGTGTAGTCACAATCGCGCCAGGATGACCGTGAGCCGCGCCCGCTAATCCTCCGCTCGTTAGCATCACCTCGCCGCCGGCATTTCCGAGCATGGCGGCGACGGCGTCGGCTTCAGCTGGAATCATGACCGTTGATTCGTCAAGAGATTGCTGTACCAATCCGGGATGCGCGAGGTGGTGATGGTGCTGCTGTTGCTGCTGCTGCTGGTGGAGATGATGGTGATGATGTTGATGATGCGCGCCGTACGGGTCCATTGCAGATGCTGGAGCCATGACCATTCCGCCTGGCGTTTGCTGCATCAAGGTCAACTCGTCAACGCCTTGCTGCTGCGCCATGGTCTAGATTACTATACGGACCGAAGAAACAAAGGGAGAAAAAAACTAGTAATTTCAGACAGAAGGTAATGATAACTAACGAGGAGGTCTGCAAAGTTTGCGCTCCGTACTCCTTGAACGTACTAGAGCTGAAGGCTAAGGATGGAAATAATTTCTGAGGTCGAACCGCGAATCGGAGGATTCGATATTGGAAGTGAATATTTTGGGGATACACACCTCTAAGAACAGACTCACTAGTGACGCGCTACTAGTGTTGCACAGGTGGAGATTCAAGATGCTGAGGGAATGAAGAGAAGAAGGGTCTGTGAAATGGTACTTTCCCTTACCGCGTCAAGAGCTCAATCTGGTGCTCCGATATGGTGCTGTATCGCTCTTCTCTGCGCTAGCTGTTGAGGATAAGGTGGATGGAAGAAACGGAACGGAAAGGTGATGGGAAAACGGGTGGGAAATGGAAGTTGGCAAAACGAGGATGAAGCAGAACGAGGGTTTCGTTGGTGAACGGAGCAACGTGATTGGCTGGAAGATTCGAGATGCTAGGGTTTCTATCTCAAACGGGTTCCCAACCAATATCGAAGACTCGTCTTTGGCAGAGCCAATTTTCGTGATGCGAAAGTCAGCGACGAGGGTTACACATGGTAGGGCAGAATGACAGCTGGTGGAGTTCATAGGACTATAATAACCGTCCGATAAGAACAGAGCGGATCGGTTCCAAGTGCGCAGAACCGCGAGATTTGCTGCGAGCATTCTTGTGAAAAAATAAGTATTTGGTGGTCATCTACCAAGCGCAACCAACCCTTCGCACCAACCAAAAGCACCAGGGCCCAACAAACTCCAGCTGAGAGGCCAAGGCTTTCGACCGCAAACGGGCTCCATGCTTTGGACTTCGCGTGAGTCAATCCCCAGACGGTTTCGCGAGAGCAGTTACCAAAGCCCTTGAGCCCTGATTGGTGTAATTGCCACACGGATGACACATTGCTGGCCACCGTCCGATACGTCTGAGCAGGAAGTGCGGTAGACCGCAAGATTGTAGTTCAATTTTCCCTGCCAAACATAAATACTTGTAAATAGATTACTGTAGGATTATTTCAACCTGCTGGAGTGTAGCTCGTCAGAACTCCATTGTTCATCTGTCCGAGAGCTCGTCAGAGTCTGCTCGTTTCCCGGGATGCCCTTGCAACATTGACCTCGGTTTCATAGCCGTTTTACAAATGGAAGCACTGAAATGGAGTTCTTTCTGGCTTGAGTAGTGTCTCCTCTCCACATCACCCGCTCAGCTTCGGTTCCGTAATAACGTCGCTCTACCGAAGTTGCTGGTGTCCATGTTGCGACTAACTTGCTTGTTACAGAAACGACTTATACAGCAGCTAAATAGGTATTTCTATTCAATTGTAGGCCATGGCTCAGCAGAACTCTAACACGTTCCATTTCTTTGGTTCGTCAGTCCCCACTGCTCCGTCCACCCAAGCCGGCGTGTTTCAGCAGCCGGCTCTTACCGCTTATCAGCAGCAGCAGACTCAAACCGCTTATCAGCAACAGTCGGCTCAAACCGCTTATCAGCATCAGCCCACTCAAACCGCTTATCAGCAGCAGCCGGCCCAAACCGCTTATCAGGTCTCGCCGTCTCTGAACGCGTATCAAGTCCAGCAGCAGGCGATTCTAAACGCCTGGTCCGCTGCTCACGCCGGAACCGCCGCAGCTCAAACGGTCGGCTCGCTACTACCTGTCACAGGATCGGTACAGCCAGCAACCGGATTTTACGGAAGTTCCCAGGCTGCGGACGGCGGCGGTGGACACGTGGCACAGAATCAGACCCTGAATCAAGCCGCCGCCACGTGGTACGATTCGGCAGGGTTAAGCGGTGCTGCTACTGCTTCGACTGCAGCAGCTGTTACTGATTACAACGCCCAGGGGGTGTTTGGTGGAAATGAATCCACACGCGCGGCTCAGTACCAGTCCAGGCAGGTGGAGCCTGTGCGACAGTCGCAAGCCGTGCGACAGCAGGCGACTACCGTGCGACAAACGACGGCTGGGCAACGGCAGCAGCGAGCACACGCGGAACGGCAGTTGCAGGTGGAAGGACGAGTGCTGCCTGTGCGACAAGTTCAGCAGCCTGAACGACAAACGCAAGCGGTGCGACATGCGACACAGGCGGAGGAACAGTCGCAGAGGCAGGCCCTGCGACAGGGTCAGCGACAGGAGCAGCGGCAGGAGCAGCGGCAGGAACAGCCTGTGCGACAGACGCAGCGGGAGTGGTGGCTGGATGCTCTAGAGGGGCAAGTTGCGAGTGCGAATGTTGCCGGTGCGAATGTTGCGAGTGCGAATGTTGCGAGCCAGGAGCAATCTCACGCCCATGAGTGGAATCGAACCATTGCTGCTGTAGTCTCCGCTCACACTCACGTGGAGAGTTTCGACCAGGGGAGTTTGCTGCTGGTGGGTGGTAGTACTAACGCTGGTTACAACAATGATACTGTAACGACAGCTGGGCTGCAGGGTTACCATGGGTATGAGGCTGCTAGTGCTGTTGCTGCGGCTGCTGCTGCTGCTGCGCCTGCAGTGGTTACCACAGCAGCTGTTACAACGCCTGCGAATCTCGCGTATCAGCAAACCCAGGGGCATGCTCAGGGGGGAGGTTACGATTCCGGGGTAGTGGCAGGGGGGGGTCACGGGCAGGCACAGACTGAGCCAGATGCAGTGTATGCGGACACGGCACAGCACGGGCAGGGTTACGGGCAGAGGCGTGGGCGCGGTGGTCAGAGGTATGCGCATGCGGATGAGCAGGGGCAGATAAACGGGCAGGGTTATGGAGCTGGGCAGGGTTATCAGCAGACGAACCAGCAGGGGCAGGTTTACGGGCAAGCGCAGGGTTACCATCAGACGGCAGAGTATGGTGATCAGGAGTATGGCCAACAGCAGCAGCAGCAGCAGCAGCAGCGTCAGAGTATTCGCGCTACTGCAGCGACGGCTACAACTGTTGCAACAGCTGTTGCGAGTACTGTTCCTGCTACAGTCGCTACTACAGCTGCTGCTGGTGCTACAGATGTTGCGACTGGGGCTGGAAGGCAGGGAACGGGCGCGGGGAGAGGGGTGGCGAGGGGGAGGCGCGCGGGGGGTGGGACGGGAGGGCAAGGGAGGGGGAAGGGGTCACGGCAAGGGCGACGGGCAGCAGGAGGGGCAGCAGCAGTAGGGGCTAGGGGACAGGAAGCAGCAGCAGCGACAGATGGGAGGGCAGGCGGAGAAGAGCGGCAGGTAGTGAGAATGCAGGAGCAGGCAGTTGGTGTTCCAGACCCTGTGCAGGCTATAATGGGGGGAGAATCTGGGCTTCAGGTGCCTCTGGTGGGGGTGGGAGGGCAAGAGACGGTTGGGGGCGAAGTGGGGGGAGATGGTGATATGTCTGCAATCTACGCTGCTGGGTATGCAGCAGGACTGGCAGCCGCCCGGGCTGCTGCTGCTAGAGCAGCAGGCGCTGCCGCTGCTGGTGCTGCTGCTGGTGTTGGTGCTGGTGCTGGTGCTGTGGATGGGGTTGGAGCAGGGGGGGGAGTGGCGGTGGCGGAAGAAGCAGGGGTCATGGAGGGGGGGCTCGGTGTAGGAGGGTTCGATCTTGACGCAACAGGCTTTGCAGATGGTGAGATGGGGATGGGTGGTGGAATGGAGGGAGAGGAGTATGGAGCTGAGGGGATGCCAGCAGGGGGAGAAGGAGAGGAAGGAGGGGAAGCAGGGGGATTTGGAGGAGGGGAAGAGGAAATGTTGCCAGCAGCAGCAGCTGGAGCAGGAGAAGCAGGTGCGGCTGCCCCTGGTCCTGGCACAGCGGCGGCAGCCGCAGCAATAGCAGCAGCAGAAGCAGCGGCGGCGGCGGCAGCAGCAACAGACGGGTCGGATACCGACGTGGATGGGGAGTTCCGGCCAGTGCGATTGCGAGACCCGGAGAGAAAACGCCGCCATTTCATCCCAGTGACGCTAAAAGCCGAGATTTGCGAGTTACGGCGCGACCGGCCGGGAATCACGCTCGAGAAGATCGTTAGAGTGCTTAAAACGAAGTATCCAGGGATCAGGATTTACTCGACTCGGGTGGCGGATATTATTCAGAAGCCGCATAAGTGGGCGGGGATGCTGGGCGGCGGGAAAGGGCACAACCGAATCAACCAGCCGCCGGACCAGTCTGGTATGGAGGGAGCTTTGGCGCGGTGGTTCGGGGAGGAGCAGCAGAGGGTCGGGGGGGTGCCGAGCGAGCAGGTGATTGAGAAGGCGAAGGAGCTGGGGTATTCGTTCGGGTTTCCCCCGACTTTTAAGTACACAAGGGCGTGGGTGTACCGTGTGTTGTCCCACTTGGGATTCTCCCAGGAGGCTATAGATGCGGCGTGTGAGGACTACCCTAACGAGGATGACTCTGCTGGTCCGTCTCTGATAGAGCTAGCGGATCAGATGTTTGGGCAGGAGCTGTTTAAGTCCCGGGCGAACCAGAAGGGACGGAAGCCCAGAGACTGGTGGGCGGAGAATCTGCTGGGGAGGAAGTCGGGGACTGGGACGGGGAGAGGGAGAGGGAGGGGGAGAGGGGCGGGGAGGGGCGATGGGGGGGTTTTGGGTGAAGGGGCGGAGTGGGAGGAGCAGCAGCAGCAGCAGCAGCAGCAGCGGCAGCAGAGGGATGTGTATGGGCAGGGTGGGGGAGGGATGCATGTGCAGGAGGTGGGAGGAGGGGGATTTGCGCAGCAAGGGGGGTATGCTCAGGGAACTGGACAGGGGTACGGGCAGGAGATAGGGCAAGGATACGGGCAGATGACAGGGCAGGCGAACGGGCAGGGCCAGGGGTACGGGCAGGGGACAGGTCAGGGGTATGGGCAGGAGGGTGGGGTGGGGTATGGGCAGGAAGGGGGGCAGGCGAGAGTGGAAGATGGGGATCAAGATGATGTTATCCCAGGTGATTTATTTGGGGAGCTGGAGGGAGGAGAGATGGTGGTGGTTCGGACAGCTGACGGTGTTGCTGGTGCTGATGGTGCTGATGGTGCTGGTGGTGCTGGTGGTGCCGGGGGTGCCGGGGGTGCTGGTCCTTCCTCCAACCAGCCTCTCGACTCAGCCGCTTTTGCAGCGAGCTCCTTGAACGAATCAGCCCCATTCACTGCTGCAAACAGCATGATCGGAGGAACCGCCAACACCGCCAACACTACAAACACTGCCAATTCGCTAGACTATGGGGATGATGGTGAAGACTCGGAGGGTTACCAGCCCGATCCGAAGCTAGTAGAGCTCGCCATGGCTGAAGCCAGAGCTGCCGCGGAGGCTCGGAGGGTGATCACCGAGGCTGACCTCGCAAAGGCGGCGCAGATCGAGGTTCTACCCCGGAATCCGATCACGGGCAGGGTGATTAGCAAAGAGGAGCTGGAGACTAACCCAGTGTACGTCGAGTATTACCGGCTACTGGAGGAACAGAAGGAGTTCAAAGAAAAGAACAAGAAAATCACAACCTGTGTGCGAACCATCAAGATGCGAAAGGCAATCTGTCTCCTCAAGGAAGCTCGGCCGTCGCTCACTAACCAAGAGATCATCCATGTTATACTGGAGTCCTGCGGGCCTGTGATTGCAGCGAGTATTTCCCCTGCAGCCCTCCGGTACACGCTCCGCAAGAGCTACCAGTACTTGAACGCCGACCTGAACAAGCCGAAAAAACCCGTCCCGAGGCGGGTTGAGTTCCCGGAATTCGAAGAGGCACTCGCGGCGTGGGTGCGGGAGATGAGGGCGAAATACGGCAAGGAGAATCTTCTGTATGAAGATATACTGGTTTATGCTCAGAAGCTGGCTCCTAGTTTCGGGATTGCGGAAAAAAATCCCAAGTTCAAGTTTCACATGTCTTGGATTTTGAAGTTTGCGGGGAGGCACGGGTTGAAGTGGCGGACGAAAGAGGATCTGCGTGCGAACCGCGAAGGGGGTGAGAGGGGTGGGGATGGTGCTGGTGGTGCTGATGGTGGTGCTGGTGATGGTGGTGGTGGTGGTGGTGGTGGTGGTGGTGGTGATGGTGGTGGAAGGAGCAGTGGGAGAGGGAGAGGAGGGAATACGTCTGGGGTAGGAGAGAGTGATGGTACAGAGAGTGACAATGGCGGGCGGGAGGGGTACGGTGAGGGCGGCGGGACAACGGACGGTGGAGATGGGATCACAACGGACGGCGGCGAGGGGAACACGACAGATGGGGGAGGGGAAGGGACGGACGTGGAAGGGGAAGGGGAAGGGGTGGGGGAAGGAGGAGGGTTTCTAGGCATGGATGTGAATATGCATATGGGGAATATAGTGGAAGGGCTTGTGAGAAAAGAGCAGGATGAGAGGAATGTGAGGAGGAACAAGATTTGGAACACTGCTGCTGATAAGCTTCTCAAGGTGGTGGCTCAGTTTGTGGCTGAGAGGGAGGCGCGGGTGCGGAGAGGGGAGGAGGCGGGAGAGGGGGACGAGCGGTGGGATGGGGAAGAGGGGGTTGAAGGGTTTTTTAAGAAGACGTGGAAGAGGAAGAGGACCGGGCGGCCGCCGAAGAAGAGGGTAGGGGCGGGGAAAGGTGGAGCAACGGCGGGGAGTGGTGGAGCAGCGGCGGCGCAGGGCATCGGGAAGAAGAGGGGGAGAAAGAAGAAGCAGAGTGGGGGCGCGGAGGGGGGTGCGGGAGGAGGGGGGGAGGGTGGTGGTGGGGAGGGTGGCGGTGGGGAGGGTGGTGGGGAAAGCGGTAGGGAAACTGGACCGGAGAGTGGAAGGGAGAGCGGAAGGGAGAGTGGGAGGGAGAGTGGGAAGGAGGGGGGGAAGAAGAAGCAGCAGCGCAAGCAGTACCAGGGGGTGTTGGTGACGTGGAAGCTTGCCCTCATCTCCCTCGCCCGGGCCAGGCAGGACCTGCCGCACTCCGCTGTCAAACGGGCCGTTCAAGCCAGGTACGTCTTGAAACGCCTGTCGTTCAAGCCAGGTACGTCTTGAAACGCCTGTCGTTCAAGTCAGGTACGTCTTGAAACGCCTGTCGTTCAAGTCAGGTACGTCTTGAAACACCTGCCCGCACTGTGCTGTCAATGTCAAGCATGCAGTTCAAGGTAGGTACATCTTGAACGAACGGTGGTGACGGCACTTACTGTATGGTGCGGGCGGGAGGACAAGGTGCGGTGGCAGGCTGAGGTGATGGTTCCCTTCCCTCCCCTCCCACCACTTCGTCCCCGCACCCCTTCCCCTGTTACCCCCTCTGCCCTCACCAGTTGCTGCCCGCACACGGTGCTAGCACGGATGGTATGTTGCAGCAGGAGGACAAGGTGCGGTGGCTTTTGAGTCGACTCAAAAGTCACCTTGCTAGCACGGACGGTATGGTCTGGTGCAGCAGCAGGAGGACAAGGTGCGGTGGCAGGCAGAGGTGATGGTTCCCTTCCCCACCCCACTGCTCTTCCCTCCACCACTGCCGCTGCTGCTACTCCCCTCTTTCCCCCCCCTGTGCATGCAGGTACGGCGTTGACACGAGTCGCACGGTGATAGCAGACTACATGGCACGGGAGGACAAGGTGTGGTGGCCGGCGCAGGTAATGCGAGTGTCACCCCACATGCTCTCCCTACCCCCCTTTTCTCTTCTCCCTCCGTGTTTCCAGGTACGGCGTTGACACGAGTCGCACTGTGATAGCAGACTACATGGCCCGGGAGGACAAGGTGCGGTGGCAGGCGCAGGTGATGCGAGACGCGCACAGGGAGGGGCGTGAAGTGCTGCCCAAGATGAAACAGGTGAGTGGGGTTTCAAGTAGGGAGTGAGGTTGATGTTTGTAATAGAGAGAGGGCGGGGAGGTAGGGGTGGGCGCGTCACCAGGCGTACAGGGAGGGGCGTGAAGTGCTGCCCAAGATGAAGCAGGTGAGTGAGTGAGATGCCCAAGAGCGGGAGGGGTGTGCGTGCACACTGCACAGCGGGACGTTATCCTCCCCAAGATGACTTTTGAGTCGACTCAAACGTCACAGCGGGACGTTATCCTCCCCAAGATTAGCTTCACTGTTTTTCGTTTTGCAAGTTTAGGGTCTGGTAGAAGTATCTACTACGTCTAGTAGTAGTTGAGAAAATCCCTGGCCTGGCGGATCTAGACCCTAACCCTCATCCATCCACACTTGCCCTTTTCTCTTCAGGTATTCCATCTGCCCTCTTCCGTGTCCCCCCCTCCTTCCTGTCACCCCCCTGCCCAGTACACCACAAAGTTCATGCGGCTGGAAAAGGCAGTAGCAGAGGCAGTGAAAAAGGTCCTGGCGGATTTGAACACCTTTCCCTGCACATCCATACATACATTCACCCATCTCCTCTTTCCCATTCCCACAACCCCCTGCCCAGTACACACACCACAAAGTTCATGCGGCTGGAAAAGGCAGTAGCAGACGCAGTGAAAAAGGCCCTGGCGGATTTGAACTGAACCCCGTTCTTGCTCGTCCATACTCCTCCTGCCTTCCCCTGCCTGCCGCCCCACCCCCCCAACCACCCCCCCCCCCCTCGCTGCCCAGTATACCAAGTTCATGCGGCTGGAAAAGGCCGTAGCAGACGCAGTGAAAAAGGCCCTGGCGGATTTGGATAAGGGGGAGGCTCAGCGCAGTGGGAGGGGCGCAGCAGCTGGACGGGTTGTGCTGGGAGGGGGGGGAGGAGCAGAAGGAGGAGCAGGGGGGATGCTGGGCGGAGGAGTGAGGATGGGCTTTCAGGGAGCAGGCGGAGGGGGGGGGGGGGGAGGGGGAGGGGGAGGGGTAGGAGGGGGAGGGGGAGGGGGTGGCGAGGGAGGGGAGGGGCAGCAGCAGCAGGGGGAAGGGGAGGAAAGGGAGGAGGAGGAGGAGGAGGAAGAGGAGGAGGCGGGGTTGCCGCGGCAGATCATGATGCATCCCGAGTCAGTAGTGGATTATGCCAACAAGGTGGCGCCACTCTTTGGCTTCCCCCCCTCCAGGTGATTATGGGTTGGTGTCGGTAGCAGCACTGGTAGGTGAGTCAAAAAGAGGCGGTGGTAGGTGGGCAGGGATGCCACAGCAGAGCAGATCATGATGCATCCCGAGGCGGTGGTGGATTAGGCCAACAAGGTGGCGCCGCTCTTTGGCTTCCCCCCTTCCAGGTGAGAGCTAACCTGACAGCATCCACTTTCTCATTCTCCCCTGACCCACCTCTACCCCACAGGTCGATCACCTTCGCCTGGGTGGTGGGTCTCATGCCCCGCTGGGGCTTCATGAGCCACTGGGCTGTGAAGGCGTCTGTTAGATGGAATAAGCACTGAGAGGCTCGCTCATTCTCCCCTACTCCTCTTCCCCTACCCCCACAGGTCGATCACCTTCGCCTGGGTGGTGGGTCTCATGCCCCGCTGGGGCTTCATGACCCACTGGGCTGTGCGGGCGGGCGTCTGTCGGGTGGAGAAGTGTTGCAAGGCTCTCGTGCCATAACCACACTTGACCCCTCTCCACCCCACAGGAGCATCACCTTCGCCTGGGTGGTGGGTCTCATGCCCCGCTGGGGCTTCATGAGCCACTGGGCCGTGCGGGCGTCTGTCAGGTGGAGTAAACACTGAGGGGCCCCTCAATCTCCACTCCCTCAATCTCCACTCCCTCAATCTCCCCTACTTCTCCTCCCCTACTCCTCCTCCCCTACCCCCACAGGAGCATCACCTTCTCCTGGGTGGCGGGGCTCATGCACCGGTGGGGCTTCATGAGCCACTGGGCCGTGCAGGCGTCCCTCCAGACCACCTTTGGAGCAAGCATTGGGAGCCTCCCATACCATAACCTGACAGAATCCAATCCCTCAACCTTACCTAACCCCCCTCTACCCCTCTCCATCCCACAGGAGCATCACCTTCGCCTGGGTGGCGGGTCTGATGCACCGCTGGGGATTCATGAACCACTGGGCCGTGCGGGCGTCTGTCAGGTGGAGGAGGTGGGCCTCTCATTTTGAGGGTCAGGGGGATAAGGAGGGTGGAGACGGGGGACGGAGTGGTGGGGAAGGGGGACAGACCGGAGGGGAAGGGGGTGAAGGGGGGGAAGCAAGGGGTGATGCAGGAGAGGGAGGAGGAGGAGGAGGAAGAGGAGGAGAAGGAGCAGGCGCTGCTGCTGCTGCTTCTGGTGCTGGTGCTGGTGCTGGCGCTGCCGCTGCTGCTGCTGCTGCTGGCGCTGGTGCTGGCGCTGCCACTGCTGCTGCTGCTTGTGCTGGTTCTGCTGCCGCTGGTGACGCAGCAGCAGCAGCAGCAGCAGCTGGTGACGCTACAGCAGCAGGAGCAGCAGCAGCAGCAGAGGAGACACTCGTGCCAGCAGAGCTCTCCTGGGACCTGTTCGACGAGGGCTTTAACCTGCTGCCGGGGGAGATAGAGGCGCTGGGGAAGGTAGCTGAGGAGCTGGAGCTGCAGCGGCAGCAGCGCTTCCGCGAGGTGGTGCTGGCCGGGGCCTTTAACAAGCGGAAGAAGAAGATGATGCAGATGCAGGAGAGAGCGGTAGCGGGGGGAGGAGAGGGAGGGGGAGGGGGAAGGGGAGTAGCAGGAGAAGGGGAGGGAGGAGGGGGAGGGGGAGGGGGAGGGGGAGAAGGGGGAGGAGGAAGGGGAGAGGAAGGGGAGGGTGCAGGAGGCTTGGGAGGGAATGATTCTGGTGACGATGATGGTGATGGTGGTGATGGTGGTGATGATAGTGACGATGGTGGTGGTGCTGCTTTTGGCCTGAGTGTTGGGGCAGGGAGAGAGGGCGGGCTAGGAGAGGGAGAGAGAGCAGCAGCAGACATGGGAGGACGAACGGGAGAAGCAGGGGCAGCAGCAGCAGGAAGACCTGCACAGGGGGCGGCAGGGGAAGCGGTAGGAGGAGGAGTGGCAGGGGGAGCGGCAGTGGGGGTGGCAGGAGGGAGTGTAGCAGCCTCTCTTCTAAACTCACTCAATCTAGCCAACTTGCCTGGACCAATCCCAGCGTACCTTCAAGATATTGTTGCTGAGCTGGCAGGATTCCGGGTCGGCGGAGCCTCGGACACTCTTCCGAACCTGCAGGCCGCCTGGGGGAACCTCGACAAGGCATCTCCCGAGCCTGTTTCAACAGGTTTCGAAGTTGGTTCGGGAACGGGTTTGGATAAGGACAGGGGCAGGAAGAGGAAGAGGAGGGAAGGGGAGGGGGGAGAGGAGGGGAGAGGGGAGGAAGAGGGAGCAGATGGGGGAGAGGGAGGGGAGGGAGAAGGAGGAGGGAGGGAGGAGAGAGATGCTGCGGTGGCTGCTGTGATGGCAGCAGGGAAGATCAAAACGCCGGAGAAGTTTTGGCAGTGGTGGCAGTTCTCGGGGTTAGTGGGGGTGAGAGACATGCGGGATGCGTGGGGTGTGCTGGAAGATGCTTCTGTGGTTGCTGTGGAGGAGGATGAAGAGGAGGAGGACGAGGAGGAGGTGGAGGAGGTGGAAGTGGAGGAGGGGTATGAGGAGGAAGAGGAGGAGGAGGGGGATGAGGTGGAGGAGGAGGTGGAGGAGGAGGATGCAGAGGTTGAAGAGTGGGGGAATGGTGGAGGGAGGGGAGGGAGAGCAACGGGAGGAGGGACAACAGGGGGCGAGACAGAGACAGGTGGGGAAACGGAGGGAGAAGCAGCAGAGTGGGGTGATCATACGAAAGAGGAGGCGAGGGAGAGAAGGAGGCAGCAGAGGAAAGAGAGGAAGGAAAGGAAGAAGAGGAAGAGGGAGAAGAAGAAGGAGAAGGAGAAGAAAAGGAAGAGGGAGAAGGAGAAGGAGAGGGAGAAAAGGGGAAAGAAGAAGGGAAAGGAGAAGATGGGTGGAGGTGGAAGGGAAGATGCACTTGCAGCGTTCACCAACATGTTGCAGCAGCAGGCACCGGGAGTGGTGCCGATGCAATCTGCGTTCCTTCAACCCGGCTTCCCTCAATCCGCCTACCCCCATCCTGCCTTCCCCCAGCCTCCTTTCCCCGCACCGCCACCAGCATCACCAGCAGCAGCTGCTGCTGCTGCTGCTGCCCAAGTGACCACGATCCAGTTCGGGGCACAGCAGGAAACGCCGTACGGCACGCGGTTTGCCACAGTGACACAGCACACGTACAACAGTGCACCACCCACAGCACACCCGCAGCAGCACACCAACAGCAGTCAGCAACAGCAGCAGGGGCTGATGGGGGGGCAAACTCCTCCTCTGGGACTGCCCCCTCTCTTGGCACAGTTCCTGTTCCCGTCCTCTCAAGTGCCACCCACCGGTGCTTCTCGTGCTGACCCTGGTTCTGCCAATGCTCTTTCCAGCGCTCCTTTCGGTGCTCCATTCAACAGCACCGCTCTGTTTTCCACCCCCACCGCTCCGCACGCCACTGGTACCCGTCTCAGTCTCACTGAGATTGGTGACGCTACAGGTGCTGCTGTTACTGGTGCTGCTGGTGCTACAGGTGCTGCTGCTACTGGTGCTGCTGGTGCTACAGGTGCTCCTGCTGCAGCAGCAGCAGGTGCAACTGCTGCTACTGATAGTGCTGCCGCTGCATCTCCTGCTGCTGCTACGGCTGCTGCCACTGCTGCTGCTGCCCCTGCTGCCCCTACTGATCGTGCTTCCCCTGCTCCTGCTCCTGCTTCCACTTCTGCTTCCCCTGCTCCCGTTCCTGCTCCTGCTCCTGCTGCTCCCGGTTCTGCTGCTGCTCCCGCTCCTGCTGCTCCTCCTGCTGCTGTTGCTTCTGCTCCTGCAGCCAATCAGACAACAGCAAATCAATCACCAGCAGCCAATCAACCAGCAGCCAATCTAGCAGCAGCATCCACAGGAGCAGGAGAAAGAGATGCCGCAACTCTCCTTAACCACCTTCTCACAAACCAACTCTCAGGCTCAGCCCCCTCCGGGTCTGTTGCCTCTCTGCAGGCCCTGGCACGCAACGTCACCCAGTCCTTTGGTCCCGATTTCGCACTCTCTCTGGGGTCACTGTTGATGCAGCATCAACAGCAGCAGCAGCAACCGCAGCAGCAACTGCAGCAGCAACCTCGCCCCACTGCTGCTGCCGCCTCTTCCCTCCCTAACCTCTTGCAGCAGATCGCCTTATTATCGTCACAGGGAAGTGCCCATTCCACTCAGTCGCAAGTTCCCACTGCTTCTGCTGCTGCTGCTCTTCTACCGGCTCTGCTGCAGCAGATTGCGTCCGGGGCTACCCAGTCCCAGCAGCCAATGCAGTTCTCTCGATCTACTGCTGCTGCTGGTAATGCTGCTGCTGCTGCTGCTGCTCTGCCTGCTGCTGCTCTGCCGGGCCTACTGCAGCTGATTGCCTCTCTCGCCAACCAGCCTACTCACTCTGCGCGCATGCAGCCTCCCCACCCCTCTGCTCCTGCTGCTGCTGCTCATCCCTCTGCTACTTCTCGCCCCACTGCTGCTGCTGCTGCTGCTGCTGCCCGTCACCCCGCTCCTGCCACCCGCGCTTCACTTCAACGGGTCCCTGCTACAAGGGGGTCTGATCGACCCTCTGCTCCCCCCCCTCTACTCTGCACCTCCCCCCCTCTCCCCACCTCACCTCCCCCGTCAACTCCCGCCTCCTCGGCACCTCCTCCCTTCTTGTCCACCGCTACCCCTCCCTCGCTTCCCTCCCGCAACTCCCTCCTGAGCTTCCTGCACGGACCCCGAGGCCCTCTCTCAAACTTCTCGTCCAGAAGCTCTCCTGCTGCTGGTGCTCCATTGGGGCCTACCAGGGCCTATGAGCAGAATTATCGGGAATCAGGTGGTCATGGTCCTATCAGGGTCCTCAGGCGACGCGCCAACTACAACGCCCCTGCTTCTGCTGCTCCCCGCCTACCAGCCAATCCGCCTTCCACTGATGCTGATCGATACACTTCAACTGCTAACCAATCCACTCTGCCTGCTGGCCGTTACTCTTTAACTGCTAGCCGGCACAATCTGCCTGCTGACCCATACACTCCAAGTGCCAACCGGCTCAATCGGCCTGCTTCTCTGCTTGCACCAGCAGCAGGAGCACCAGGAGCAAGAGCACCAGGAGCAAGAGCACCAGGAGCAGTAGCAGCAGAAGGGGTGCATTCCCCGTCGTCCCACAGGTCTGGAGTGATTCTCGCCCTCCCAGCCGCATCGTCCCCCACGTTTGCCTTCCGTGCACCTGCTGCTGCTGCACCTGCTGCTGCGCCCACCGCTGCACCCACCGCTGCTCCTGCTCCTGTAATCAGTACTGCTCCTGCTCTTGTAATCAGTACTGCTCCCGCTCCCCCAACCACTGTTCAGCTTGTCACTCCTGATCATACCGCTGCTACAGCTGCACCTACAGCTCTGCCTGCTGCTACAGCTGCGCTTGCTGCTTCAGCTGTCTCTGCCCCTACAGCTGATCCTGCTGCTACTGCTGTGCCTGCTGCTACAGCCGTGGGTGTGTGGACACGCGCTGCAGCAGCATCAGCTGGTGCTACTGCGGATGTTGACACACCTTCTGCTACAGTCATGACTGGCCGAACCCGTGCTGCTGTGAAGGCTGGGTTCTATACTACAGCTATGACTGGAAAGGCTGGGGTCCGCGCTACAGCCGTGACTGGCCGAACCCGTGCAGCTTTGAAGGTTGGATTCTATGCTACAGCTGCCACTGGAAAGGCTGGATTCCGTGCTACAGCATCAATGCCTAACACCTGTGCTGTGACTGCTGCTACAGCTGCTCGTAATGCTACAGCTAGACATGCTTCTATAGTTGCCTCCCGAGCCCGTGCTGCTGCTTTTACAGCTGCTAATACAGCCGCTAATACTGCAGCTGGTACTGCTGCTGGTACCTCTGCTGGTACTGCTGGCCCTAGTGCGAGATCTAAGTTCGCCTCTACGGGTATTGCCACCAGGACTCGTGCTGCTGCTGCTGCTGCGGCTGTTAGAGCCGCCATGGCTAGGAGGCATCGCTCTGCTGCTGTTGCTGCTGCTTCTGCTGCTGCTGCTTCCACTGGTGAATTCGGTGGTGGTGATATTGGTGGTGGTGGTGGTGGTGGTGGTGGTGGTGGTGGTGGTGGTGGTGGTGGTGGTGGTGGTGGTGGTGGTGGTGGTGGTGGTGGTGGTGGTGGTGGTGGTGGTGGTGGTGGTGGTGGTGGTGGTGGTGGTGGTGGTGGTGGTGGTGGTGGTGGTGGTGGTGGTGGTGGTGGTGGTGGTGGTGGTGGTGGTGGTGGTGGTGGTGGTGGTGGTGGTGGTGGTGGTGGTGGTGGTGCTACTGCTCCTGCTGCTGGTGCTACTGCTGAGCCGTCAGCGGTCAGGCAGGTGTCAGGCAGACACCGGGAGGGGAGATTCGCGACTGGGTATCAAGGGAGAGTTCTGCTTAGCCAAAGTGTGGGTCACAGCAAGCGGGAACGGCGTATGAGGGCGCTGCGCAGGGCGAGGAAGAAGGACGTGCAACCGCCGTGGGCCCACAGTATGATTGCGCAAAGCATTGCGGCACAAGCTGCGATGGCGCAAAGTGCTATAGCGGAGAGTGCTATAGCGGAGAGTGCTATAGCGGAGAGTGCTAAAGCGGAGATTCCAGTGGGGCAGAGTATGGAAGGTGAGGAGGGAGAGGAGGAGCAGTCGCTCAGAGAGGGAGGGGAGCAGGCCTTGAGATGCGTTGAAGAGGAATTGTCGGAAGGTCACAATAGCCCTTCAAATAGCCCCTCGGGTCAGCCTCATATCGCCACTGCTTCACCGCAAGGCACCCCTTCAACACAGCCTCCTGCCTCGCAACCACGGACGCAGAATAGCCCCTCAAATCTCTCTCCTGCTCCGCCGCCATCGAAACAAGTTAGCCCAGATGGAGCAACTGTGCATGCCATGCCACGACCGCTGTCGCAGGATAGCCCGGCGACTGCGACTCGCCATGCCATTCCACTCGCACCGTCCATGTGCACGCTGCTGGCACTTCAGCAGGACTCCACGAGCTCCATGTCAAAACTGCTGGCACTTCAGCAGGACACGACGTCAGCTGCTGCTTCTCCTGCTGGTGGTTCTGTTGCTGTTGCTGTCGCTGGTGCTGCTGCAGGGCCAAGTGGGGCAGGTGGGTTGGGTGATCCTCCTCCTGCCCCAAGCTCCATGTCAAAACTGCTGGCACTTCAGCAGGACACGACGTCAGCTGCTGCTTCTCCTGCTGGTGGTTCTGTTGCTGTTGCTGTCGCTGGTGCTGCTGCAGGGCCAAGTGGGGCAGGTGGGTTGGGTGATCCTCCTCCTGCCCCAAGCTCCATGTCAAAACTGCTGGCACTTCAGCAGGACACGACGTCAGCTGCTGCTTCTCCTGCTGGTGGTTCTGTTGCTGTTGCTGTCGCTGGTGCTGCTGCTGGGCCAAGTGGGGCAGGTGGGTTGGGTGATCCTCCTCCTGCCCCAAGCTCCATGTCAAAACTGCTGGCACTTCAGCAGGACACGACGTCAGCTGCTGCTTCTCCTGCTGGTGGTTCTGTTGCTGTTGCTGTCGCTGGTGCTGCTGCAGGGCCAAGTGGGGCAGGTGGGTTGGGTGATCCTCCTCCTGCCCCAAGCTCCATGTCAAAACTGCTGGCACTTCAGCAGGACACGACGTCAGCTGCTGCTTCTCCTGCTGGTGGTTCTGTTGCTGTTGCTGTCGCTGGTGCTGCTGCAGGGCCAAGCGGGGCAGGTGGGTTGGGTGATCCTCCTCCTGCCCCAAGCTCCATGTCAAAACTGCTGGCACTTCAGCAGGACACGACGTCAGCTGCTGCTTCTCCTGCTGGTGGTTCTGTTGCTGTTGCTGTCGCTGGTGCTGCTGCTGGGCCAAGTGGGGCAGGTGGGTTGGGTGATCCTCCTCCTGCCCCAAGCTCCATGTCAAAACTGCTGGCACTTCAGCAGGACACGACGTCAGCTGCTGCTTCTCCTGCTGGTGGTTCTGTTGCTGTTGCTGTCGCTGGTGCTGCTGCAGGGCCAAGTGGGGCAGGTGGGTTGGGTGATCCTCCTCCTGCCCCAAGCTCCATGTCAAAACTGCTGGCACTTCAGCAGGACACGACGTCAGCTGCTGCTTCTCCTGCTGGTGGTTCTGTTGCTGTTGCTGTCGCTGGTGCTGCTGCTGGGCCAAGTGGGGCAGGTGGGTTGGGTGATCCTCCTCCTGCCCCAAGCTCCATGTCAAAACTGCTGGCACTTCAGCAGGACACGACGTCAGCTGCTGCTTCTCCTGCTGGTGGTTCTGTTGCTGTTGCTGTCGCTGGTGCTGCTGCAGGGCCAAGTGGGGCAGGTGGGTTGGGTGATCCTCCTCCTGCCCCAAGCTCCATGTCAAAACTGCTGGCACTTCAGCAGGACACGACGTCAGCTGCTGCTTCTCCTGCTGGTGGTTCTGTTGCTGTTGCTGTCGCTGGTGCTGCTGCTGGGCCAAGTGGGGCAGGTGGGTTGGGTGATCCTCCTCCTGCCCCAAGCTCCATGTCAAAACTGCTGGCACTTCAGCAGGACACGACGTCAGCTGCTGCTTCTCCTGCTGGTGGTTCTGTTGCTGTTGCTGTCGCTGGTGCTGCTGCAGGGCCAACTGGGGTAGGTGGGTTGAGTGATCCTCCTCCTGCCCCATGCTCCATGTCAAAACTGCTGGCACTTCAGCAGGACACGACGTCAGCTGCTGCTTCTCCTGCTGGTGGTTCTGTTGCTGTTGCTGTCGCTGGTGCTGCTGCTGGGCCAAGTGGGGCAGGTGGGTTGGGTGATCCTCCTCCTGCCCCAAGCTCCATGTCAAAACTGCTGGCACTTCAGCAGGACACGACGTCAGCTGCTGCTTCTCCTGCTGGTGGTTCTGTTGCTGTTGCTGTCGCTGGTGCTGCTGCTGGGCCAAGTGGGGCAGGTGGGTTGGGTGATCCTCCTCCTGCCCCAAGCTCCATGTCAAAACTGCTGGCACTTCAGCAGGACACGACGTCAGCTGCTGCTTCTCCTGCTGGTGGTTCTGTTGCTGTTGCTGTCGCTGGTGCTGCTGCTGGGCCAAGTGGGGCAGGTGGGTTGGGTGATCCTCCTCCTGCCCCAAGCTCCATGTCAAAACTGCTGGCACTTCAGCAGGACACGACGTCAGCTGCTGCTTCTCCTGCTGGTGGTTCTGTTGCTGTTGCTGTCGCTGGTGCTGCTGCTGGGCCAAGTGGGGCAGGTGGGTTGGGTGATCCTCCTCCTGCCCCAAGCTCCATGTCAAAACTGCTGGCACTTCAGCAGGACACGACGTCAGCTGCTGCTTCTCCTGCTGGTGGTTCTGTTGCTGTTGCTGTCGCTGGTGCTGCTGCTGGGCCAAGTGGGGCAGGTGGGTTGGGTGATCCTCCTCCTGCCCCAAGCTCCATGTCAAAACTGCTGGCACTTCAGCAGGACACGACGTCAGCTGCTGCTTCTCCTGCTGGTGGTTCTGTTGCTGTTGCTGTCGCTGGTGCTGCTGCTGGGCCAAGTGGGGCAGGTGGGTTGGGTGATCCTCCTCCTGCCCCAAGCTCCATGTCAAAACTGCTGGCACTTCAGCAGGACACGACGTCAGCTGCTGCTTCTCCTGCTGGTGGTTCTGTTGCTGTTGCTGTCGCTGGTGCTGCTGCTGGGCCAAGTGGGGCAGGTGGGTTGGGTGATCCTCCTCCTGCCCCAAGCTCCATGTCAAAACTGCTGGCACTTCAGCAGGACACGACGTCAGCTGCTGCTTCTCCTGCTGGTGGTTCTGTTGCTGTTGCTGTCGCTGGTGCTGCTGCAGGGCCAACTGGGGTAGGTGGGTTGAGTGATCCTCCTCCTGCCCCATGCTCCATGTCCAAACTGCTGGCACTTCAGCAGGATACCCCGAGCATGGCTGCTGCTGCTGGTAGTGCTGCTTCTGTTGCTGTCGCTGATGTTGCTGCAGGGCCAAGTGGGGCAGGTGGGTTGGGTGATCCTCCTGCCCCAAGCTCCATGTCCAAACTGCTGCTTGGTCAGTTTGCGTCCGCGTCTCCTCTTGGTCGAGCTGCAGCTGCTGTTGGCGGTGGTGATCTTGATGACGATGACGATGTCGTGGAAGTTGGTGGTGATGATAATGATGGTGATTGTGGTGATGATAATGATGGTGATGGTGGTGATGATAATGATGGTGATGGTGGTGGCGGGTCCAAGGCTGATGATGATGATGATGTGCTAGTGGTAGCTGATTGATGTTAACCAAACTGGTAGTTTGCAGGTTCCGCAGGGTGACATGTTCAGTGTAATAACCAAAGTGTAATTACTGTTTTTCTCTGGACTCCTATGTATGAGTGTAACAGGGTTTGAGTTAGTGTTTAATGAATTCTGAAGAATGGTAAGTGCAATTAATTATAAAGCCGTTAGGTCACTGAGCTGAAGTGGATTTTGGTCTCAAGTGTATTTTCGGGAAGCTTCACTCTGAGGCGATTGATTCACCCAAAGGCCCGAAAAGTAGGGAAAATATGCCACTCGTAACCATCATGGGACTCGATAACATTTCTGATAAAACAATAAAGGGTACGGTCACTGCAAAGGGTGTTTTCACGCGACTGATAAAACGTTTCACGTAATCAGTCACAACCAACTGGTAAAAAAAACGCGAATGGTCATAGATGAAATTCCCGCCAAAACAAAATGAAACCCAAAAAGAACCTGGATGCATTCTCGAATGAATCAACCCTAAACACGTAACTCGCCAGGTGTTTAGGGTTGATCCGTTCCCAACCGCATCCGATTCCAATTGGGTTTTAGTTTTTTTACAGGTTAGCAGATTGGTTGGGCGCGAGCGGGAAATTTGTTGAGTTTCAAGTTTTTTTGGCGGGAGTTACAGGTGTGACCATTCGCGTGATTTCCGATACAGTGGCCGTACGCGTTCGTTTTTTACCATTCACGTTATCGAGTCCCAAGTTGGTTACCCATGGCATATTTTCCCCGAAAAGTATCATCACAAGAGGGAAACCATCTTCCGAATATTCTCGAAATCCATTCACAGTTTGCATCGCATAAATGCCGTCGATCACATTACGAGTGGTCAAGTACCTTCCCATCAACCGTCGATTATATGTGGTACAGTTGCGGAGGCGGGTTTGGCTTTCGCCTTTGGCGACGAAATTATCGAGGTTTACCACCTCGTCCTGCGAAGGTGAATGGCGATGTTTTTTTCTTGTGGCAGAAGCAGGAGTTTCTCTCCGTCAACTACATCTGCCTGTCGCCAGAGGGGTTATGTCAACCGTCGATCTTCTTTTCCTGCCCATGACGGGAGATTTTATTTTCATCTTGCGCGACGGAATTATGGAGAGGTCTGTCACCCCTCCATCAGAAACAAACTTCTTTTCCTGGATTCTTGCGGAAGTGCAAGTAATCTGTATCTGTGACTTCAGTTTTGCCTCATAATGAGGCCAACATAAGGCTTTCTTCTCTGTTGCTTGTTCCTCAGCTGCTTATCTCCCCTATCACCGTTCCCGCCAAACTCATCATAGTTTGAATCATTAAGTCGCCCACAATCAGTTGCAATTCGGACGCACCGCCAAGTTCACCTTGAAATCTTTCAGCAAGCTCGTCTGCTTTTTTTTTTTAGGCTCGTCGTTATGAATCTAGTCGAGTCGTAGTTTTAGTCGTGTCGTAGGTATAGGTTCGTCCTTGTTTAGCTAGGCTCTTCCATGTTTTAGCTAGGCTCGTCCTTAATCTAGTTAGGTTCGTTAGTATTTTAGACTCGTCGTAACATCGTCGTGATTTACATATTGTCGTGACAGCCCGCTGGAGTGCTATAATTTCGTCTAGACTGTTATCCTCGTGAGAAGAGCCACGCGATTCATCATGACCGTCCAGCAGCGACGATTGCGGAGCTGATGGTTTTTGTTTCTTCTATCTCTCGTTCTCTCCCTTGGTAGTCTCGTTTGACTGGCTTTCGTTCGCTTTTAAGATGCGACTGCAGGAGCCGTCAGGTTTCGGTCAGAATGGCGGGTCTGGTGGAGGCGAAATGCAGGCTGATCCTGTTGCGCCTTCGTCAGCCAATCAGCAGCAGCCAGCAGCCACGTCTGCAGCAGCGACAGGCTCGGCAGGCCCTTCCGAACCGCAGTCCGAAAATGTGGCTTCGGGATCCGAACCTCGTCGGTCGAAGCGGAAGTACAAACGAATATCGGTGGACCAGAAAATCGAGCGGGAAATTCTGGCTCTCAAAAAAGCCCACCCAATCCTCACCAGCGAGCAGATCGCTCGCGCCGTCGCGAAGCACTTCGGAGTGACGCTGAAAGAATCGAGGGTGGAGATGATAATCCTTCGCTCCAAAACTGATCCGTCCGTTAAAGCCAACTGGCACAACTGGTGGCGCAAGCGTTACAAGAACCCGGAATTGGAAGCAGATCTGCTGCAGTGGATACGCGAAAGGAGGCGCCGTGAGTCGCTGAAACCACAGAATATTCTAAACGGAGTTAAGAGGTTCGTGACATTGAAAGAAATGGTGGATTATGCGATGGCTATTGGGCCCTCGTATGGCGTCCCTGCAGAGCATATTTACAGCACGGATTGGATGCTCAGGCTTTTAAAGGACCACGGATTGAATTCGAGAGGGGAGGAGATTAATCTGGCCGGAGGCGCAGGCTCGGGGATTGATGCCGGGGCTGATGGAGCAGGTTCGGGGGAAGAGGGTCCTGCTGGTGGTGGTGCTCGAGGCGGGGACTCAGGCTCGGGGCGTGTTCCTTGGAACGAGGTTCCGTTTGATATCCGGATTCGGTACGAGATTTCTGTGGTCAAACGTGCATGGCCGAACCTAGACAATAGGGTGATTGCTGCAGCGATTACAGTTAAGTACGGAAACGGAACGGGGATAAACTTTCGATCGCTTGACAGAATAAGTACGTTTTACGACAAGTGGTTCGGGATTGTTACCGCAGCGGTGCCAGATCCGAACCTGTTACGAATGGAGGAGGCATTGGCTGAGTGGGTGATTAAAGAGGAGGAGCGGGAGAAGAGGGAGGTGACTATAGAGGAGATTATAGTGAAGGCGAAGGAGATTGGGCCGGGGTATAAGGTGCGGCCGGGTTTCAAGTATGGCCGGTCGTGGTCGACGCGGTTTATGAAGAGGTTCGGGCTGCTGCTGCTGTCAGGTACTACTAACGAGGATGCTGATAACGAGGATGTGGGAGGATCGCGAGGAGAGGGAGGAGAGACAAGAGAGGAGGGAGGAGGTGGGGAAGGGGGAGAGGATGGGATGGAGAAAGGAGACGAAGAGGAGGGAGAGGTGGAGGGATGGGATGGTGGGTTGATCAGTTTTCTGAACATGCAGATTCGGACTGCTGAATGGGCTGCCTGGCAGGTGTTGCATAAGTCGGCAGGGGGTACAGCAGCGGGACGCTCTTTATCGAGTACAGGGGTAGGAAGGGGAGGAAATGAAGGAGGTGGAGAAGTAGGTGGGGGCGTTGTGAGTACCCCTGAGCCTGATCGTGGGAGTGTAAGAGAAGGGGATTTTTCAAGGGCAAATAACCCTTGGTCTGCGGATGCCTTGAGTGAGTTACTAGAAGAAGAAGAGGGGGTCGACTTAGTTGATAGAACAGGGTCTGGGAGGGATGGAGGAGGGGAGTTGCACACAGTTGTTGGGTATGGAGATGTTGAGAGCACAGGAGGGGCGTTGGGGGTAGAGGAGCGGATGACTGATGGTGATGCTGATGCCGATGCTGATGCTGATGTTGATGATGATGACGACGTTCCCGGTGCTGGTAGTGCTGAGGATGTTCGTGCTCCTACAGCTGCAGCAGAAATGAGGAAGAGAGGAAGCAAGCGGGTTAGGTGGGAAGACGATGCTGGTGACAATGATGGTGGCGATGGTGATGGTGCTGGTGATGGTGGTGATGGTGTGAAGAAGCGAAGGCTTGGACAACTCACTTGTGCCACAGAGGCTGTTGCTGTTGGTGTCACAGTAGGCACATGCGCTGCCACCCCAGCCAGGGGAGCACTTTCACCAGCCACAGGTGCAGCCCCCAGCGCACCCACCGGCGTCTCTTCCCCCGTGCCCATAGTCATCGGCCTTGCCGCTCCCACTGATCCCAATGCCCCCGCCGCCCGCCACACCACCCTCCTCCACCTCCCCTCCCAATCCCCACCAGCCACGGGTGCAGCCCCCAGCATACCCACCGGCGTCTCTTCCCCCGTGCCCATAGTCATCGCCCTTGCCGCTCCCAACGATCCCAATACCTCTGCCACGCCTCACACCACCACCCTCCTCCACCTCCCCTCCCAAGCCGCCCCGGCTTCCCGAACCACAGTCCCTTGGCACTCCTTTCAGGGCGGCCTAGCCGCTCAAGCCACCCGAGCCGTCCAAGCCCAAGCCGCCCAAGCCGCCCAGGTCACGCCTCCCCCACATTCCTCCAAAACGCCGCCGCCCAAGGAGGGGAAGGATCGCCGGCCCCGCCATTCCGTGCTGACGCCGGGGCAAGGCGGGCCTTCTGCCTCGTGCAGCGGGCCCTGCCGAACCTGCGCCAAGCCTACCTCTCCAGGGCTGCGCTGCCGGCTTGGGGCGTGCAACTGTACAGCGCGACAATATCAGGCACTGTGAGGGATAGCTGGTGGTGGGTTTCCATTCCTTGGGGGAAAGAGCAGGAGATGAGCAGAAGGCCTGGGAAGGCGTGGAAGAACATGGGGAAGAAGAAGAAGAAGAAGAAGAAGAAGAAGAAGAAGAAGAAGAAGAAGAAGAAGAAGAAGAAGAAGAAGAAGAAGAAGAAGAAGAAGAAGAAGAAGAAGAAGAAGAAGAAGAAGAAGAAGAAGAAGAAGAAGAAGAAGAAGAAGAAGAAGAAGAAGAAGAAGAAGAGGAGGAGGAGGAGGAGGAGGAGGAGGAGGAGGAGGAGGAGGAGGAGGAGGAGGAGGAGGAGGAGGAGGAGGAGGAGGAGGAGGAGGAGGAGGAGGAGGAGGAGGAGGAGGAGGAGGAGGAGGAGGAGGAGGAGGAGGAGGAGGAGAGGAGGAGGAGGAGGAGGAGGAGGAGGAGGAGGAGGAGGAGGAGGAGGAGGAGGAGGAGGAGGAGGAGGAGGAGGAGGAGGAGGAGGAGGAGGAGGAGGAGGAGGAGGAGGAGGAGGAGGAGGAGGAGGAGGAGGAGGAGGAGGAGGAGGAGGAGGAGGAGGAGGAGGAGGAGGAGGAGGAGGAGGAGGAGGAGGAGGAGGAGGAGGAGGAGGAGGAGGAGGAGGAGGAGGAGGAGGAGGAGGAGGAGGAGGAGGAGGAGGAGGAGGAGGAGGAGGAGGAGGAGGAGGAGGAGGAGGAGGAGGAGGAGGAGGAGGAGGAGGAGGAGGAGGAGGAGGAGGAGGAGGAGGAGGAGGAGGAGGAGGAGGAGGAGGAGGAGGAGGAGGAGGAGGAGGAGGAGGAGGAGGAGGAGGAGGAGGAGGAGGAGGAGGAGGAGGAGGAGGAGGAGGAGGAGGAGGAGGAGGAGGAGGAGGAGGAGGAGGAGGAGGAGGAGGAGGAGGAGGAGGAGGAGGAGGAGGAGGAGGAGGAGGAGGAGGAGGAGGAGGAGGAGGAGGAGGAGGAGGAGGAGGAGGAGGAGGAGGAGGAGGAGGAGGAGGAGGAGGAGGAGGAGGAGGAGGAGGAGGAGGAGGAGGAGGAGGAGGAGGAGGAGGAGGAGGAGGAGGAGGAGGAGGAGGAGGAGGAGGAGGAGGAGGAGGAGGAGGAGGAGGAGGAGGAGGAGGAGGAGGAGGAGGAGGAGGAGGAGGAGGAGGAGGAGGAGGAGGAGGAGGAGGAGGAGGAGGAGGAGGAGGAGGAGGAGGAGGAGGAGGAGGAGGAGGAGGAGGAGGAGGAGGAGGAGGAGGAGGAGGAGGAGGAGGAGGAGGAGGAGGAGGAGGAGGAGGAGGAGGAGGAGGAGGAGGAGGAGGAGGAGGAGGAGGAGGAGGAGGAGGAGGAGGAGGAGGAGGAGGAGGAGGAGGAGGAGGAGGAGGAGGAGGAGGAGGAGGAGGAGGAGGAGGAGGAGGAGGAGGAGGAGGAGGAGGAGGAGGAGGAGGAGGAGGAGGAGGAGGAGGAGGAGGAGGAGGAGGAGGAGGAGGAGGAGGAGGAGGAGGAGGAGGAGGAGGAGGAGGAGGAGGAGGAGGAGGAGGAGGAGGAGGAGGAGGAGGAGGAGGAGGAGGAGGAGGAGGAGGAGGAGGAGGAGGAGGAGGAGGAGGAGGAGGAGGAGGAGGAGGAGGAGGAGGAGGAGGAGGAGGAGGAGGAGGAGGAGGAGGAGGAGGAGGAGGAGGAGGAGGAGGAGGAGGAGGAGGAGGAGGAGGAGGAGGAGGAGGAGGAGGAGGAGGAGGAGGAGGAGGAGGAGGAGGAGGAGGAGGAGGAGGAGGAGGAGGAGGAGGAAGAAGAAGAAGAAGAAGAAGAAGAAGAAGAAGAAGAAGAAGAAGAAGAAGAGGAGGAGGAGGAAGAAGAAACGGGCGGTTGGATCGGGGGTGGGGCGGTGGGCGAGACTGGAAGAGGCGATGGGGCGTTGGTTTGAGGAGATGGGGGCGGAGGAGCTAGTTTGCCGGGGGAGGATTAGAGAGAGGAGGCTGGTGCTGGTGGAGCAGGGGGAGGATGGGGGGAAGGATGGGGGGAGGGATGGGGGGAGGGATGGGGGGAAGGATGGGGGGAGGGATGGGGGGAAGGATGGGGCACCTCCGAAGGGCCCCTTTCCTGTGTTTCTGACGCTGGAAATGGTTTCGGACATGGGGAGGAAACTTGGGCCTGCTTTAGGCGTTTCGAGTGACTTTAGGTACGGCATTGGGTGGGCAGAAGCGGTGCTGGCGCGATATAGGGTGAAGAAGACCGGGGTGGTTGGGGAAATTGCGGGAGCAGGGGGAGAGGGAGTAGGGGGAGAGGGGGCAGGGGAAGGGGGACTGAGGTGGGAGAATGGAGAGGGAGGGGAGGGGGAGAGGGCGGAGGGAAATGAGGAGGCGGAGGAGGAGGAAGAGTCAGATGGGGAGGATGATGATGATGGTAGCGACGAGGAAGAGGGAGAGGGGGAAGAGGGGGGCGAGGAGGAGGGAAACGAGGAAGGGGCGAACGAGGGGGAGTGTTGGGATCCGGATGTGTTGCAGAGGCGGTTCGAGGAGTCCCAAAACGCAGCTGCATACAGCAGCAGAGAAGAGGACCCGTATGGTCTAGACAAGTGGGTAGACGATCCAGACGTGTCAAGCCTTATGCGCGCCATTCTGGGCCCGGATTGGCTTAGTAAGTACCACAGTGGCGCCACTGGCTGCGGCATTTACCTCGATGCTGCTGGTGCTAGCAATGCTGCCCCTGCCGCTACTGCTGCTGCCACTGCTGCTGGTGCTGGTGCTGGTCTGGGCAGCCCTGCTGCTGGTGGTGGTGGTGCTGGACTTAGCAGTCCTGCTGGTGCTATGGGTGGGCATGGGCATGGCAGTGGGTTTGTCAGGGGAAGCCCGTCCTCCCTCGCGTCGCCTCTCATGCAATGCATGCCCCTCTCTGCAGTGCCCCTGGTGGTGCAGCAGCAACAGAAGTACGTGCAGCAGCAGAAGCAGAAGCAGCAGCAGCAGCAGCAGCAGCAGCAGCAGCAGCAGCAGAAGCAGCAGCAGCAGCAGCAGCAGCAGCAGCAGCAGCAGCAGCAGCAGCAGCAGCAGCAGCAGCAGCAGCAGCAGCAGCAGCAGCAGCAGCCAGCCAGTGCATCCCAGCAGCCACTAGCCAGTCCGTCACTTCACCAGCAGAAAAGCTCCAACTCCATTTCCCTGCTGCGCTTGCCTGACTTTCTCTTCACCCGGCCCACATCACAACCCGCATCTGCACAGCGAACACCTGAAACAGCACCCACTCCTGAAACTGTACCAGCACCTGAAACTGTACCAGCATCTGAAACTGTACCAGCACCTGAAACTGTACCAGCATCTGAAACTGTACCAGCACCTGAAACTGCACCAACACCTGAAACTGTACCAACACCTGACACTGTCCCAGCACTTGAAACTGTACCTGTACCTTTACCTGAAACCACACCGAGTCCTGAAACTGTACCAACACCTGAAACCGTACCTGTACCACCTGAAGCCTTACTAACAACTGAAACTTTGTCAGAGGGGCAGGAAGAACCTCCTTCCTCCACCTCCACCCCACCCACCTCGCATCCCCCGGCCCTACAAATCGTCCTTGCCCTCCCCGCCCCAAACGCCCCTCCCATTACCACCCCCGTCCACCACTCCTCACCTCCCGCGGACCCCTCTCAACCCAGCGAAACCACCCCATCCCCCCATGTGCGCAAGCGGATACACGGCCCCCCTCTGCCCGTGCAGCTCCGGCGCTCCTTCCAAATGACCACAAGCCAAAAGCGGGCGCTTTGCCTCGTCATACACTCCGTTCCGAACCTCTCCAGCTTGTTTCTTGCCAAGGCTCTGCTGCAGGCTTGGGGAACGCCCGTGTTTGAGTCCATGGTTCGGAAAATCAGGAATCATAGAGACTGGTGGATGAATATTCCGAAAGGGAAGGAGGAGGAGTTTAGAGTGAGAGGGAAGCGGTGGGATTGGAAGAAGAGGAAGTATTATGCGGTGGAGGGCGGTGTGGATGGGCGGGTGCAGTGTTTGAGGCTGGAAAAGGCGTTGCTGAAGTGGATTGAGGCGATAGGGGCGGGGGAGTTGGTGAGGAGAAGGGGGATAAAGGAGGGTACGTTTGTGATGGAAGGGGGAGAGGGGGGTGGGGAAGTGGAGGAAGGGAGGGGGGGAGAGGGAGGAGTAGGGGGAGGAGGAGGAGGAGGAATAGGAGGAGGAGAAGAAGGAGGAGAGGGAGAAGAAGAGAGAGGAAATGCACAGGGTGAGAGACCAGTGAGTTTACCAGTTAAGGTTGTGAAAGATGGAGTGGTGGCAGAGGATAAATTGAAATTTCCTGGGCGTTTAACGGTGGAGATGCTTTTGGATAAGGCAAAGGAGATAGGCCCAACCATAGATGCCCCCTCTGACTTTGAATACACAGAGGAATGGGTGCTGGGGGTTCTAGAGCGGTATAAGTCAAAGGCAGGGGGAGTGGGGACTGAGGGTGATGGTGCAGGGGCCGAGCAGGAGAAGGGACAAGGGAGGAATCAGCAGAGAGGAAGGAATGCGCCCAACAAACCTCGTAACGATCAGCAATCAGCACCTAAGCCCTCATACGATCGGCAATCAGACCCGTACGATTTGGAGAAGTGGGCAGACGATACCCATGTGAAATCGCTCATGCAGTCACTTTACGGGCCGAAATGGCTCCGTAGGTATGCCTACCTGCGCTCTGTCAAGGAGGCTTCGGCTGCTGCTGTTGCTGCTTCTGCTGCTGGTGCTGGTGCTGCTGGTGCTGCTGGTGGCGCTGGTGCCACTAGTGCTAGTCGTGGTGATGCTTACCCCGAACACACTGCAAGGCCGCCGGCCAAGCCTGCGCACACTGCTAGTGCTGCTGCTGGTGGTGGTAGTGGTGGTGCTGCTGCAGGCAATGCTGCTCCGCTGCTGCCTACACCCTGGGCCAGTAAAGCCAAACTCCGGGCGTTTCTGGAGCAGGAGGAGTTTCAGAAGCAGCAGAGGTTTCAGGGGCAGCAGAAGTCTCAGGGGCAGCAGAAGTTTCAGGGGCAGCAGAAGTTTCAGGGGCAGCAGAAGTTTCAGGGGCAGCAGAAGTTTCAGGGGCAGCAGAAGTTTCACGGGCAGCTGAGGTTTCACGGGCAGCAGGCCCCATGGGGCAGCGACGATGATTCTTGGGCAGAAGAGCCTCCAGACAACCGCCCTGATTCTCCTGACTCATTTCACTCAGTTCACTCTGTTGACTCTGTTGACTCGCGGGATGCTCTTGAAGCTCTTGACTCATGTGACTTCCCTTCCTTGCCGCCTCAAAGCGCGCCTCCTCCTCCTCCTCCTCCTCAGCACGCGTCTACGCAGCGCCAACGAGGGGCGTGGGGCAGGGATGGGTCCTGGCCGGGTGCCTTTAACCGTACTTCTCCCATGGCTGCTGGTAACGCCGCAACACAGCAGAGGCAGGGGTTTTCGGGCAGGGAGGATGGTGGTTCATGGTCCGGTGCCCTTCATGTCCCTCGTGCTACTGGCGTCTCTGCCTCTCGTGCCGCTGCTAATCTTAGGCTTCGTGTTCCCCCTGGTTTCCCCGGCTCCCGTGCTGCTGGCCCTCTTAACCCCTGTGCTCCTAACTTCCCTGGCACTCGTGCTCCTGTCATGGGTTCGGAGGAGTGGCAGCAGTCGCTGCAGGGGCAGCACAGGTCGACTTTTGAGTCGACTCAAAAGTCAACTATTGACTCGCGTGCTGCTGTCATGGGCTCGGAGCAATGGCAGGAGAGGCTGCAGAGACCATTAGGCGGCGTTGGTTCTTGGGCAGGTGGTTTCACTGCCCCACCATCCCTTGGTACCGGTCTCAACCGCTCTCCACCCATGCCTGGACACGCTTTCCCTGGTTCCCAAGCAGCTGGTATCACTCCCAATGCGGGCCCTGCAGGCCCCACCACGCGTGCCAAGCGTTTGCCCAAGTGTGTGGTGAGACAGGAGCAGCGAGGAGGAGGTGGTGGTGGAGAGTGGTTGGGAGGGGTGCCTGGCGGTAGTGCTGCTTTTCTTTACTCCTCTCGGAACGCGTCTGCGTACATGTATGAGCAGGGAGAGAGGGCATTTGGTGGTAGTGAGTGGGGTGAAGGAGTGGGAGGAGGGGGAGGAGCAGTGGGATGGGGAGGAGGGGGAGGAGGGGAAGATGCAGGACCAGATTATGGAATTAGAGGGTTGGGTAATGAGGAATGGCAGGGAAAGAAGAGAAGGATCGAAGATGAGAGAGTGAGAAAGGAGAGAGTGAGAAAGGAGAGAGTGAGAAAGGAGAGAGTGAGAAAGGAGAGAGTGGGGAGGAAGGAGGGAGTGAGAGAGGAGCGGGAGCGAGAGGAGCGAGTGCAAAAGAAGGGGGAAAAGGTGAGAGAGGGGAGGGCACGAGAGAAGGAGAGGGTGAGAGAGAAGGAGAGATGGAGATCAGAGGGCGGTCGGTTTTTTGAAACATCACAGTCGAAAAAAGCACTTCAAAAGATGGGAAGGAGTGGGGCGAAGACGGGTGTTGATTCGGCTGGTACGCAGGCTTTCGAGGCGCCTCAAAAGCAGCCTGAAAAGCGGTCTAAGAAACGAAACGCTTCCTTTCACACTGCATGGGCCATGCTGGTTGGTGGGGGCGCTGTTGGGGAGACTAAGAAAAATGCTGAGGGTGGAGTTGAGACGACTAGAAACACCATGCAGGTTGGTGGGGATACAGGAGGGGAGACGGATGGTGTGGGGAGAGAAACAGGGGGGCGGGCAGGAGGGGAGGGGGGCGAGATGGGTGGCAGTGTTGGGGAGATGGGTGGCATTGACGGGGAGATGGGTGGCAGCGACGGGGAGAGGGGCGGCAGTGATGGGGAGAGGGGCGGCAGTGACGGGGAGAGGGGTGGTGGTGACGGGGAGAGGGGCGGCAGTGACGGGGAGAGGGGCGGTAGTGACGGGGAGAGGGGCGGCAGTGATGGGGAGAGGGGCGGCAGTGACGGGGAGAGGGGTGGTGGTGACGGGGAGAGGGGCGGCAGTGACGGGGAGAGGGGCGGCAGTGACGGGGAGAGGGGCGGCAGTGATGGGGAGAGGGGCGGCAGTGACGGGGAGAGGGGTGGTGGTGATGGGGAGAGGGGCGGCAGTGACGGGGAGAGGGGCGGCAGTGACGGGGAGAGGTGTGGTGGTGACGGGGAGAGGGGCGGCAGTGACGGGGAGAGGGGTGGCGGTGACCCAGTCTTGATGACTCGCAATGGCGGGGAAAATGGTGGAGATGAAGGGGAGAGAGGTGGTGGGGAAGGGGAGAGTGATGGTGGGAGAGGGGACAAGGATGGTGGGAGAAGAAAGAGGGGCCGTGGGGGAGGGGAAAATTATAGCAGGGGAGGGGACAGGGATGGAATTTTTAGGGTAAAGAGCGGGAAAGGGAATGGGGAAGAGCGGGGTGGTAATGGGCAGGAGAGTGGTATGAATGGGCAGGAGAGGGGTGGGAATGGGCGAACAGCAGACGTGATTGAGGTGTCAGTGAAGGAAGAGGACTTGAGTGGCGGTTCAATAAAAAAAGAGAGTGAGGAAGATTCGAAAGAGATAGAAGAGGTGAGGAGAAGGAGAGGGAGAGTCAGGAACAGGAAAGGCAAGAAGGTCGAGAGTGAGAGTGAGGAGGATTCAGGTGGTGAGGAGTTAAGAAGAGGGAGGAGAAGGGGGAGGAGACGAGGGAGGAGAAGAGGGAAGAGGAAAGGTGGCAAGGGTGCGGATGAGAGTGAGAGTGCGAGTGAGGAGGATTCAGATGACGTAGTGGAGGTAAAGGGAGGAGGGAGAGGAGGAAGGAGGAAGGGTGGGAAGGGCGAGAGTGAGAGTGAGAGTGAGAGTGAGAGTGGGAGCGAGAGTGGGAGTGAGAGTGCGAGTGAGGATGATTCGGATGATGTGGTGGAGGTGAAGCGAAGAGGGGGGAGAAGTGGGAGCAGGAAAGGCAGGAAGGGGAGGAAGAGGGATGGGAGGAGTGGAGGGAAGAGGAGACGGAGAGAGCGGGAGAGGGGGAGAGAAGGTAGGCGAAGGCGAAGGAAAGGGAGAATCAGCAATTCAAGTGATGAGGATGAGGATGATGATGATGATGATGATAGTGATGATGGTAGTGATACTGATAGTGACAATAGTGAAAGTGGTAGCGATGATAGTGATAATGATAGTTCTAGTTCGAGTGGCGATAGCGATACCAGTGATAGTGACAACAATACTGATTCCTATAAAGAGGGGGCGGAGGAGAAGGCGGATGATGATAGCAAAAGAAAAGGCAAGAGGGGGAGGAAGTTCAACAATCGAGAAGGACAAGGCAACAACGCAGGCGTACCAGCATCCTCTGCAGCAGTTGAAGCAATAGAGGCTCTGGTGGCGCAGGCAGCAGCGCAGGCTGCATCTGGGACAGGCTTACCTCTTCCCGCCTCAGTCACACCTGAAAAGGCTGCTGCTGCTCTCACTGCCGCCATTGCAGCTGCCACTGCAGTTGCAAGTGGCGGTAACAGTACTCTTGCTCCGGGGGTTGGTCCACCCGGTGTTGCTGGTGGTGCGGCTTCTAGAGCGGTTTCAACCGGTGCTGCTGGGTTAGGAGGTGCTGGGCTGGGCCAGTTACTGAGCGCGCTAACTGCTGGTAATATGCTGAATGCTGGTGGACTGTTCAACGCTGGGGGGGTGCTGAGGGCTGGTGGAGCTCCGAATGCTGCAGGAGGAGGGAGGGGAAGAAACACACATGTTGCTGGTATTGCTGCTGCTGGTGCAGTGGGTGATCAGTTTGCCGCCCAGGTAGGCCAGTTTTTGCTGCAACAGCAGCAGCAGCAGCAGCAGCAGCAGCAGCAACAACAACCCTTGCAGCGGCAGCAACAACAACAGCAATCCTTGCGGCGGCAGCAGCAGAGGCAATCCCCTCAGCAGCAAGAGCAGCAGAATCAAAGAGGCGCTTCTGGTGGCCGAGCGTTACTGGAGCAGCAGCTGCAACAGCTGAAGCGGGAGCAGGCACAGCAGCAGCGGCACGTGGAGCAGTTACAGGGGCAGCTGCGGCAGCTAGAGAGGGAGGAAGAGCAGTTCATGTACCCAACCCAGCAGCAGCAGTGGCAGCGGCAGTGTCTCGAGCAGCAGTTGGAGCAGGCGCAACGGTTTGCAGTGCAGCAGGAGACGCAGATACAGAGAATCAGGAGGCAGTTAGGGCGATAGCAGCAGGCATTGTGGTTTGCAAAATAGCAAGAGGCGCTCATGCAGCGAATGAAGACGCAGCTAAAGCAATTGCTGCCACCGTAACACAAGCTTGAGACATCAAGTCTTTATACACTGGTGGATCTAGGAAGTGAGCAAGACAACTTAATTGCTACATTAACTACAGTGCATGATGTATGCTTAGTGCTGTACAGAGCATGGTTTTGCAGAAATTTACTGTATGAGCCCTGATACATAGTTTACACAAAAAATCACCCAAAACAGTCTGGATTAATTGACCAGAACTGGTGGCATGCAGAGAGTTTTGTTATGTATTGTATACCTCCTACTACGGTACATACTGCAAGCAAACAACAAAGCCGTCCTACTTCCTCTCTCTCCTCCCCTCCCGTCGCCTTCGCTGTCCCCGTTCCCTTTTCGTCGCCTTCACTGTTCTCCCTCCCCCCTCCCTTCCGTCCCATCTCTCACTCGCCCCTCCCGCTCCACCCATCCCGCCAGCGCGAATTCTCAGTCGCCGCCGCCGCCGCCAGCGCTTCCCATTACCTTTCCCATTCTCATTTCCTATCTCGTTCTCGTTTATCACCCCCCACCCCCAGTTATAAGTGGTATATGCCTACTAGTAATATGAGGTTTTGTATAGTATATTTCTTTCCCCTATCACACAATCGTCAACCTCATCGCTCCGCGCTCGTCTTGAATCGACCTTCCTCTCTTCTCTCCTTCGAGCCACCTCGATGCTCTTCATTGCGTCGCGCTCTTTGTAAATCACCGTCGCTCTTCATCTCTTCTCCTCCCGTCAACCACCTCGTCGCCCTCTCATGCGCGCCTCAAATTGCCTCCCGTCGCCCTCGCCATGTTCCATCCCTTCTCTTCGCTGGGTTTTGCCTGATATTGCTGTGTGTGGGCAGGAAGCTCTGTGTGCGCTTGATTTACCTGTGTGAGCGCTGGATTTTGCCTGTTAGTGTGCTGGATTTTGCAATGTGAATTGTGGTGAAGTTACGACGACTCGTATTGCACCCTTGCGCCAAATTCGCACAAGAATGTGTTTGAAAGTCGCCACCAATCAGATTTGTAAACAAGTTCCAAATGTTCCCCGTTCACATTGAGACTCGTCTGGGATGAAAAAATAAAATAGCACAGCACATCAACTCTCCAAACATTCCAAACAAACTTGTGTTTTCAAGTGGACCCAACTAGAAGGGGGGGGTCACTATTTTAGCTGCTGGCTTTAACATGTACCGTACTGTCTCAGCTCAGCACATGCGACAAATGCGATTCGTCTTCCTACACCCCACCCTCCGTAACCCCACCCTCCGAAGCCCCACCCTTCGCAGAACCAGAATCTGCAGCCCCACCCTCAGTGGCCCCACCATCTGTAGCCCCACCCTCTGTATTCATAGCCCCATCTGTAGCCTCAGCCATCCCACGATCAGCTGTAGCATTACCATCTGTAGCAACATCGCCAGCAGCACCGTCGCCTGTAGCACCAGCATCAGCTGTAACTCCAACGTCTGTAGCGCCAACGTCTGTAGCGCCAACGTCTGTAGCGCCAACGTCTGTAGCGCCATCTACATCTCCATCTGCAGCACGGGCACATTTCTCCTCATGTCCTGTAGCCCCGTCACCTGTAGCGCCATCAGCTGTAGCACAATCGGTTGTAGCACCATCAGCTGTAGCACCATCGGCTGCCGCACCATTTGCCATAGCACCATCAGCTGTAGCGCCATCAGCTGTAGCTTCATCGGGTGGAGAACCATCATCTGCAGCATCATCCCCTCCTCCATCCTCATCCCTCGTATCCTTTGCCCCATGTGGCTTACCTTCAACATGCTGAGGTGGAACATCATTTGTGGCATCCTCTCCTCTTGACTCCCCACCATCACCTGCTGTATCATCTCCTCCCCCTCCATCCTCATCCATTGCGTCCTTTGCCTCGTACTCATTGCCTCCCACATGCATCGGCGCAATTGCTTTTGACTCCCCATCGTCTGTAGCACCACCACCTGTAGCACCATCTCCACCTCCTTCAGCAGCAGCATCACCAGCAGCACCACCACCTGCAGCACCATCACCTGCAGCACCATCACCTGCAGCACCACCACCTGCAGCACCACCACCTGCATCACCACCACCTGCAGCACCATCACCTGCAGCACCATCACCAGCAGCACCATCACCAGCAGCACCATCATCTGCACCACCATCATCTGCAACACATGCATCATCCATTTCCCCATCTTCAGCAGCTGGACTGGTCGTATTCCTAGTCTTGGGACTCGCCTTTAAACTCGCCTTAGGACTAGCCATGATATTTGCAGCAACATTGGAATCTCTTGCCTCGCTGGCTGTAGCTTCTGTGCCATCCCCTGCCTCACCGGCTGTAGCTTCTGTGCCATCCCCTGCCTCACCGGCTGTAGCTTCTGTGCCATCCCCTGCCTCATCGGCTGTAGCTTCTGTGCCATCCCCTGCCTCGCCGGCTGTAGCTGCTCCGGCATCCCCTGTCTCACCAGCTGTAGCTGCTGCAGCATCCCCTGCCTCATCAGCTGTAAGTGCAACATCATCCACTTCCATCTCATCCGTAGCTATTGCTCTGGGCTGCTGTGGGCCAACAGCTTCATGTGTATCATCACCAGCTGTAGCTGCTGTAGCTGCTGTGGCATCTCTTGGCTCACCCGCTGCAGCAGCAACACCATCCACTTCCATCTCATCCGTAGCTGTTGCTCTGGACTGCTGTGGGCCAACATCTTCGTGTGTCTTATCACCTTCTGTAGCGGCTACAGCCTGATCCATGGTTGTAGCAGGTATGTTTTCACCAGCTGTGGCGGCTACAGGCGTGTCAGAAGCCTTCCCTCGAAGGATCTTGCTGATGGTGCTTTCAACTGCATCAGCCTCAGCACCTGCAGCTACAACCGCATTCCTATCTGATTCGAGTGCAGGTACATTGCCACCACCGGCTGTAGCGGCTACAGGCGCGTCAGAATCCTTCCCTCCAAGGATCTTGCTGATGGTGCTTTCAACTGCATCCACCTCAGCACCTGTGATGCCAGCCCCTGGTGATTCAGGTGAGCCAGCTGTAGCTGCTACAGGCACTACTGAAGCACCTGTGGTTTCAGCAATTGGTGAATCAGGTGATTCGGCTGTGGTTGCTGGGGATGCGGCTGTAGCAGCTTTGGTCCCCGTCTCTGGTGAGTCAGGTGATGCGGCTGTAGCTGCTACAGGCACTACTGAAGCACCTGTGGTTTCAGCAATTGGTGAATCAGGTGATTCGGCTGCGGTTGCTTGGGATGCGGCTGTAGCAGCTTTGGTCCCCGTCTCTGGTGAGTCAGGTGATGCGGCTGTAGCTGCTACAGGCACTACTGAGGCATTTGTGGTCCCAGTTGCTGGTGAATTAGGTGATGTGGCTATGGCCGCTGGTGAAGCGGCTGTAGCTGCTTTGGTTTCAGCCACAAGCGATTCAGGAGAAGCGCCTGTAGCAGGTGGTGCTGTAGCAGGTGCCTCTGTGGCAGTAGGTGCATCTTTGGCAGGTGCATCTGTAGCAGGTGCCTCCGTAGCAGGCGCCTCTGTAGCAGGTGCATCTGTAGCAGGTAGATCTGTAGCATGTGCCTCTGTAGCAGGTGCATCTGTGGCAGGTGCATCTGCAGCAGGAGCAGCTGTGGCAGGTGCATCAGCATCAGCAGGAGCGACGGTAGCAGCACCAGAGTCAGCAGGAGCAGTGGTAGGAGCATCAGCATCAGGAGGAGCAGTGGTGGCAGCACCAGCATCAGCAGTGGTAGCAGCTGCAGGGGAAACAGTGGTGGCAGCACCAGGGAGAGCAGGGGCAGCAGTACCAGGGGCGGTAGCAGCACGAGTAGAGGTAGTGGCAGCAGAAGAGGCTGCAGCAGCAGGTGGGGCACTTTGCTGCTGCTGCTGTTGCTGCTGCTGTGCCTGCTGCTGCTGCTCTTCCTGCTGCTGCTGCTGCTGTGCCTGTTGTTGATCCTCTATCTGCTTCTTCAGCAGCTGCATCTCACTCTGCTGCTGCCATGCAAACCGCTGTGCCTGCTGCAACTGGTTCTCTAGGTGCTGTTTCTGCCACTGCTGCTGGGGAGATGGTGCCTTGAACTGCTGGTGCTGCAGCTGGTGCTGCAGCTGACCTATGAGCTGCAGCTGCTGCTTGTGCATCTTCTCTAGCTGCTGCAGAAGGGAAGCTCTATACCCAGAACCACCTGTCTGCTGCTGCTGCTGCTGTTGCTTCTGCTTCTGCTTTCGTTGCTGCTTCTGTCCCTTCTGCTTCTGCTGTTCCTGCTGCTGCTGCTGTTGCTGTTGCTGCTGCTGCTGCTGCTGCTGCTGCTGCTGCTGCTGCTGCTGCCACTGCCCCTGCTGCTGCACTTGCTGCACGAAACGGTCCCAATTGGCAGCACCAGCAGCCCGACCAGCAGCCGAAATCGCATTACCACCCCCACCGATCTGAGCCCCAGCAGCAGCAGCAGTGGCGGCAGCAGCAAAGGCAGCAGCAGGAGACGCCGCAGCAGCAGCAGCAGCAGCAGGAGCAGAGGGAAAACCAGGAGCAGGAGCGGGAGCAGCAGCAGGAGCATTTCTGAAGCCGGAATAGAACTGGGGAGGATAATACGGGGAGAAGTATGGCTGCCCTAAAGCAGCATTGCCCGGTCCGTGGGCGTTAAACAGTCCACTAGTACCTCCACTACCCATTCCACCAGCATTTACCATCCCACCAACATTCCGCATTACACCAGCACTAATTGCACCCAGTAACTGCCCAAAACCAGCACCTCCCATTGCAGCAGCACCACCAGCCAACCCGCCACCAGACCCACCACCGATCCCTCCCCTAGTAGCAGCACCCCCCCACCCAGCACCCCCACCACTGCGTGTACCAGCAGCAGCAGTAGCGTTGTAAGCAGCAACGTTGGGGGAGTCACCGCGGGCCACGGAAGCAGCAGCTGCAATGGCGGCAGCAAGGGCAGCAGCAGCCCGTTCCTGCGTGACTGAGGCGGGAAGAGGTAAGCCCGCCCCAGATGCAGCCTGCGTCACCAGAGCCAGTGACTGGCCCGGAATAAGTGGGTTGCTCTGATTGCTCAAATGGCTCGGAATGCTTGAAATGACAGCAGCTCCGGCCGATCCTGCTGCACCTGTGCCGCTTCTCCTGAGGTTCCTTCTGACATGCAGGATCCCACCCAGCCCCTGGGTGTTATCCTCCTCCCCCTCCTCCTCCTCCTCCTCATCTTCCTCATCACGATAATCCTCATCCTCATCATCGTCGTCGCTCGAGCTCTCCTTTCGTGATCGGCCCTTTCTGCGACGATCTCTTTTCTTCTCCTTCTCCTTCTCTCGCCGTCGCTTCTTCTTCCCTCTCTGTCTATCACCTCCCTTCGCACCTTTCCCCCATCCACCCCCCCTCACCTCAACCACATCATCATCTGATCCCTGCTCCTCCTCTTTGTCATCATCTGAAAGCTCAATCACTTCTGCCGCCCGCTTTCTGCCGGCCACCTCCCTCACACTCCGTCTTTCACCCCTCCTCTTCCCGTCTCCATCCCCACTCTCACCACCTGATCCCGCACCCACCAGCACATGCCAAGCACTCTCAAACGACGCACGTTGTCCTCCTGCCTCCGACCCATACTTGTCTCCCTTTGTCCTGTGCCTTTCCCCCTTTTCCCCACGTCTTTCACTTATCGAATCCCTCCAGTCACTCCCACCCCGTCTCTCTGCTCGTCTCCGGGCCTTCTCCTCTGCTCTCCTTCTCTTCTTCTCTCTCTTCCGCTCCTTCTCCCGCGCCTTCCTCTCCCTCCTCCCCTCTCGTTCACTAACCACTCCCCCAGCTCCCCATCCCAAATCCCCTCCTGCTCCTGCTCCTGCTCCTACCCCTCCTGCTCCTCCAAAACCTAAACCCACACTCCCTCCCACACCCCCTCCCACACCCCCTTCCACACCCCCTCCCACGCCCCCTCCGGCACCTCCTCCTGCTGCCTGTGCAGCCAAGAGAGTGAGCAGCAGCAGCAGCTGCTGGTTACCAGCTCCTGAGCCTTGACCTGCGCTCGCGTTCACCAGGGCTCCCAGATTGCCTGCATTGGCCAAACCACCACCGCTTGCACCAGCACCACCAGCAGCGTTACCGAACCCACCAAAACCACCACCCAAAGCACTGGCTATACCACCAGCAGCAGCACCACCAGCGCCCAGAGCTGCTGCAAGCAGTGCTGCAGCTGCAGCCGCCCCTCCTGCTGCCGGCCCAACACCATGTGCAGCAGCAGCAGCAGCAGCAGCAGCAGGTGAAGTGGCAGCAGCAGGTTGTGTTTGAGAAGCGAAGCCATACGTGTGGGAGTGGGGTGAATGGCCGGTGTGCTCTGGGGTTACACGCAAGTGGTGCGGACGGGGCAGGTTGAGCTGCTGGAAATTGAGTGGAGATCCTGCTGTGTACCAGTCCCCTGCTGTGCCCCCTGCTGTGCCCCCTGCTGTGCCCCCTGCTGTGTCCCAGCCCCCTGCTGTGTCCCAGCCCCCTGCTGTGCCCCCTGCTGTGCCAGTCACACCTGCTTTGCCTGCTATACCTTTGACACCTGCCGTGCCTGCTACACCCGCTCCTCCTCCTCCTCCTCCTCTTGCTGTTTTTGCGAAAGCCTGGCTCCTTGTGACTCGAGCACCAGCAGCGACAGCTGTCCATGAATCCCCATGCAGTTCATAACGGTACATAACGGTACGGCCACCGGCCGCACCAGCCGGAGAACTGCTGAACCCAGCAGCTCCAGCAGCAGCAGCAGTAGCAACAGCGCCTGTAGCAACCGCACGGCGACGGCGGGGAGGGCGGCAGTCGGCGACAGCAGCATCAGCAGTCAAGCTGCCGTCATTCTCGTACGCAATGCCGCCTCTTCGGGTGCACTGTGTGAGCCAGTCTGGCCCGAGCACGCTCCGCATGAGGCTGGAAAGGTCCGGATCGTCCGCCCACTTGTGCAGCGCATACCGGTGCGGATCCTGATCAGCCCCGGCACAAGGAGCGGCGGCAGTAGCAGCAGCAGCAGCAGCAGAAACTTGTATGTCTCCCGAAGGTGTGGCGATTTTTCCCCGTTTCCCACCCCTTGCATGCTCCGACTCCCGCCCTGCTGTCTCCCCGCTCCGCCCTCTCTTCTTCCTCCCTTCACCTCCTCCTCCCACCTCCACCACATCATCATCCTCACTTGAACCCTCGTTACTCTCATCCTCCTCCTCCCCCTCATCACTCTCCTCATCACTCTCCCCATCACCATACGAATCCTCATCCGACCAATCCCCATCCTCTCCCTCCTCATCCTCCCCACCCTCCACCCTATCCCCATCCACCCCCTCCGCTCGCCCCCCCCCCTCACCCCTCGCCCTCGCCTGGAACCGCCCTACAACCCTCCGCACCCAGGACTCCGAGTAATTAAATCCAAGAGGAGCATCCAGAGTCGGTCCTAGCTCCTTGGCCATACTTCTTATCATCTCCAGCGTCAGAAAAACAGGAGCGGACAGTTGAGGGTTTTGAGAGATCCCAAGAGCGGACGAGCAACGCCGCCTCCTTCTCCCATCTCCGAACTTCCCGCCTGTCCCACCCCTACCCCGCACCCCCACTTCCATCACCAACATCCTATCCTTCACCCTTCCTTTTGTCACCAACTCCGCTGCTCCTATCCCCTCTATCCACTTCCACAACGCCTCTTCCAGCTTCGCGCACTGCCCTGTGCCCTTCTCTTTCCTAGTCCTCCTCTTTTTCCTTGGTTTATTCTTCATCTCCTCCTCCTTCCCCCGTGGAATCCTCAGCCACCACCAGCTGTCCCTCACCACACACCTTACAGTATCAAACGACACGCGCGCTCCCCAAGCCGGCAGCGCAGCCTTGGCGAGCTCGTAGATGTTGGTTCGGCGCAGGTTCGGCAGGGCGTGGCGCACGAGGCAGAACGCGCGCTTCTGACCCACCGTTAGCTCCCTAACCGTGCAGCGCTTCGGATCGGGAAAAGCTTTTCCAGAAGAAGCATCGGAATTCGGTGCCTTTTCTGTGGTATTGGGGAAAGCCCGGCCAACTAGGGAGGAATTGAGGGGTTTCATGGCCTGAGAAGCCATGGCAGCTTGAGAGGCCAGGGCAGCTTGGGATGAGGTGGGAAGGGTTGTGGTGGGGGGCGTGGCGGGGGCATTGGGATCGTTGGGGGCGGCCAGGGCGAGAACGATGGGCACAGGGGAAGAGACACCTGCGGGTGCCTTGGGGGCTGCATCAACAGAGCAGCCTCCCTTCTCGCCTGCATCATCCCCATCCAGTACGACAAGCTCCACTGCGCCTTCTTCTGTGCCTCCTTCTGCTTCTTCTCCCTCACTGCTGTCCTCATCCAGTGCTTCCCCCTCCGCTGTGAGGGTGATGACAGCACCAGCTCCTGTGGCTGCACTGTGTGGCGCACTTTGTGGCGCACTGTGTGGCGCACTGTGTGCTGCATGCCTTTGTTTCTCCGCACTATCACCATCACCATCAGCACCACCAGCACCACCCTCACCACCACTATCCCCATCATCACCAGCAGCAACATCAGCAGCAGTACCACCACCAACTGCACCACCATCACCATCCCCATCACTACTGCCACCGCCACCACCACCAGCATCACCATCCTCATCACCACTATCACCACAACCATCACCATCCCCATCCCCAACCTCCTCAGAACCCTCACGACCACCCTCCCGACTTCCATCCCTTCCTCCCGCCTCCTTCTCCCCCGTTCCCCTCTCGTCGTCTCGCCCCTCCTGCAGCTCGTCCTCCCACCTAACCCGCTTGGTTCCTTTCTTCCTCGTTCCTGCTGCAGCTGCAGCATCACCAGGACTGCCGTCACCAGCAGCAGCAGCAGCAGCAGCAGCAGCAGCTGCAGCAGTACCACCACCATCAACACCACCATCAACACCATCAGCAGCAGCAGCAGTAGCAGCAGCAGCAGCACCGCCACCGGCAGCAGCAGCACCATCAGCAGCAGCAGCACCAGAACCATCGGCGCCAGTAGCAGCTAAATCAGAAGCTTGCCTCACAACCTCAGGCCCCTCTCCTCCTGCTCTCTCATCTCCTCCTGCTCCATCCTCCGCCCTCCCACTCTCTGTTCCCTCACCTCCTCCCTTCATCCCCTTTGCCCCTTCGTCTCTTCCCCTTGCACCATCACCATCTGTGCCGATTCCATCTACCCCGGCTTCTTCAAACAGCTCATTCAAAATATCCGCAGACCAAGGGCTATTTACCCTTGGAGAAGCCCCTTCTCCTGCATCCCCTTGATCAGGCTCAGGGCTACTCACACCACCTCCCGCTTCCCCTTCCCCTTCCCCTTCCCCTTCGCTCTCCCTTTCCCCTTCCCCGTCTTTTCCCTCCCCCTCCCCGCCTCCGCCCCCTTCTCCTTTGCCCCCTCCATCTCCTTCCCCCCCATCTCTTCCCATACCCCGCCCCGCCACTGTACCCGCGCCTCCTGCCCCTGCCGACTCACATAACACCTGCCTGGCAGCACGATTTACTGTTCGCATCTGCAGGTTTACAAAACTAACTAATCCACCATCCCTCTCCTCCCCTGCACCACCATCCCCCTCTTCCTCCCCCGCCTCCTCCTCGCCTCCCCACTCCTCTCCTTCCTTGTCCTCATCCCCCTGCCCTTCCTCCTCTCCCCCAGACTCCCTATCAACCCCTTGCCTTCTTCCCTCGTTCGCCTCATACCTCCCTGCCTGGTCACCACCTCCACCTCCTCGTCGTCGTCCTCCTTCTCCTCCTCCCCCTCCTCCTCCTCCTCCTCCTCCTCCTCCTCCTCCTCCTCCTCCTCCTCCTCCTCCTCCTCCTCCTCCTCCTCCTCCTCCTCCTCCTCCTCCTCCTCCTCCTCCTCCTCCTCCTCCTCCTCCTCCCCCTCGCCCCCCGAATTCTCTCTCAAACCAGTCATCATCATCATCGCCTCCCTCTCCTCCCGCTCCTCTCGCCCCTTTCTCATCCTCGTTATCAGCATCCTTGGTACTAGTCTCCGACAGCAGCAGCAACCCGAACCTCTTCATAAACCTCGTAGCCCATGACCTGCCATACTTAAAATTCGGCCGCACCTTATACCCCGGCCCTATCTCCTTCGCCTTTGCTATAATCTCCTCTATAGTCACCTCCCTCTTCTCCGTCTCCTCCTCTTTAATCACCCACTCCGCTAAAGCCTCCTCCATTCGTGATTGGTCAGGATCTGATACCACTCCTGCCGCCAGCCTAAACCACTTATCACTCTCCTCCCCAATCTTCCTTATCGCTCTCGGGGTCATTTCCACTCCGTACTTAGCCCTAATAGCAGCAGCGATCACTCTATTCTCTAAGTGCGGCCGAGCGCGCTTGACCACAGCAACCTCGTACCGAAGCTGGAGCTCAAACGGGATCTCGTTCCGAACCAAAGGACGCTTCGGCTTGGGCTTCTCCGAGCCTGGCTTCTCCGAGCCTGGCTTCTCCAAGCCTGGGCTCCCGCCTCGGTCCAATCCGCCAGCACCACCTTCCCCCAAACCTGCTCCACTGCCCACACCGTCATCATTCCCCGAACCTTCACCTCCCGTCCTACTAATCTCCTCTCCCTTCTTATTCAACCCGTTTTCTTCTAGAACCTTCTGAATCCAGTGATTGCTGTACTTAAAGACGTCAGGCACGCCGTGCGACGGCCCCAATTTCATCGCATAATCCCGCATCTCCTTGACCGAAAGTTGCTTCTTAACCCCTTTAATTTCTCTCATCGGATCGCGCTCCTCCTCGCGCTTCCTCTCTCGCACCCACTGCACGAGCGCCTCCTCCAGCGGCGGGTTCTTATAACGCGTACGCCGCCACCTCGTCCAGTCGCTCTGCACGCTCCGGTCTACAGTGGACCGCAATATAATCATCTCCACCTGCGATTCTTTCACTGGCACTCCGTACAGCTTCGAAACCGCGCGCGCGATATGCGCGCTGGTGAGCACAGGGTGAGCCTGCTTCAGAGCGACTATTTCCTGTTGCAGCTTCTGGTCAATCACATTCCGGTGGTGTGGCTTCTTCGCCACCCGAGGCTTGGATGCCGAACCAACAGCAGAGTCGCCCGTCCCCGAGCCGCCGATTGCTGGTTCGGACGCTGAGCCACCTGCAGGTCGGGGTTGCGCCTCGGGATGATCTTCCGAGCTTGTTGCCGCGGCTGCTGACGTAAAACCTGGCTGTTGCTGCTGCTGCTGCTTCTGCTGCTGCTGAGCAGGTGGAAGAGAGGGACTGGAGGGACTGGCTTGGAAAGGATCTGTCTGCTCTCGAGGAAAACGAGCATCCTGCATTCCCTCCCCTCCCGCAGCGCCAACATCGCTGGAGTCAGAAATTGTCCTCGCCTCAAGCATCTCCAGAATAATGTAGTATTTCTTGTACTTTGTTTTCTCCTGGAACAGTCCGTCCTCGTTACCAAGAAAAAAAGGCCGACAAATAACGCGATATCGCAAGGTCGACGCTAATGCACCGCTACCGCTATCGCACAGTCGGCACTTCGCACGGTCGGCGCTATCGCACGGTCGGCGCTATCGCACGGTCGGCGCTATCGCACGGACGGCGCTACTGCACGGTCGCGACGACGGTAGCTGTACTTCGAAGGAAAACAGATGTGATCGTTCGACGGTGGTCACTAATTTGACGAAATCAGTCTCAATAACCGGGAATAAGGGATTCACGTTATAACGCGCTGTGGCAAACAAAAAAACTCAAATCGTCAACATTCGTAACCAGGCTCGTTAGCCTTTCGCTTAATCCACTCAGAGCTCGCTTATGGAAGAGCCGTATGCAAGCGGCTCCTCAGACGGCCCAAAGCCGCCATCTACATTACTGAGGCGTGGGTGCTAATTTCAGGAGTTCGCAGACATATATTCAACAACCGCAGATGTCGCAATTTTTCCAAATCGCACCTCCAATCCCGGTAGGCGACTTGAGGATTATTCGAACAGATGCTCTGGCGGTGGCTTGCGTGGAAATAAAACACTATGCTCGGCTTTCAAAGTTCGTCTCAATGAGTAAACTTACGAGTCGCTGACAGGTTTGTTCCTGAATCGCAGTGAGACCGTCAGAGCAGGAATGCTGGTTATTGTGGCTGTTGGATAACAGAACGCTGGTGGCAAACCTACTCGCTCTTTCCCCCTGCTTGCTCTCTCTTCAGCAGGTGATAATCTCGAGGTGAGGCCACCAAGAAACCCTCGCTCCATCGGCAGCGAAAACAATCGACGGTCTAGACTGGTTTATTTCTGCCAAAAACGACATCCACGGTTGATAGATTGCTTTGCTGTTATTGGAGCTGACCCAATTCCCTGAGGCTTCTAACAAAACGACGAGACTATGCAGAAGGTGTGGAAGCATCTGGAGATTGCAATCGACAGGTCAGAAATCAAGCCTCACCTCATTCCCGTGGATAAAGAGGCGAATGTAGTGTATCCGTGGACCTCATCGGCAGTTTCTACAGCTCATAAAGTGATGAACAAATCCTAACTCAAAAAAACGCTACATTCACATTCACATTCACATTCGAATTTTACACACGTAACTAAACTCACAATTATATTAAGAGTTTTACATTCAAATTTGATCACAACTACATTACCAACCTCGTAAAACAAGTAATTATAAAGCAAGTTCAGCTAACTGGATAAAATGTCTACATATTGTGAAACCCACTTTTCAGGGAACGTTTTACAGTGTCGAGCCCTCCACTACCGAATGTCAACTCACGTCGCAAATCAGGGAGCAGTGTTGGTGACAGGTGCGGCGGATTTGTCGTTCGTGGGCGTTGAATACCCGGACCGCATCTCGGAATTGCGCGATGCGGATTTTTTTCCAATGTCCGTTCTGGTTTCATCGATTTCGCCAAACAAATCCGAGCCAAACCTTCCCCCCTCGCCAGCTCATCGCCCGCCCGCTCGTCGATGCCAGTCGGTGTTCCATCGTTCCGTTCCAGGCCCAACCAACCTCCACCCAAATAAACCCATGTTTCCCAGACCAAACCGATGGTTTCACCCATCTCAACCCCATCCTCTCAACCCTTATGTCAACCACCTCACATGGATGCGGAGCATCAGTGACAGCCTAATGCGGCGGCATCAAGCCATTGTCGTCGCCTCCCCACGACAGAACCGTCCACTGTTCTAGGTGCGACCTTTGGAACCAGTCAGCCACTGGTGCGATTTTTGCGGCTGCACGATAAAGTGGCGCGACCTCTTTCCGACAGAATCGTTCCATCATTTCCGTCGAACTGCTTCCTCTCTGCTACTTCCAAACCTTCGTCAGGCTGTTAGATGAAGAATTAAACTACGATCGCGATCGCGATATCATGCAACGTGGATTAGTAACTCTGCCGCCGTTAGGGCGGCGAACAATTGTCAACGTGCAGCAGCGAAGTCGAGGTTGCACATCGCGGAAAAGGCAAGTGTCGAAAGTGACTTATTTGTGAATTTTTTGTCACTTCCCCGTATACGAAATTTTGGTAGAAAAAGGTGATGGTTGGAAGTACCAGGCTCACGTCACTTGCAATGTCACGAAATTGTGACATTTCCGTGAGTTTGAAGTCACAATGACGTCACATTGCAGTGACTGGCGAAGTGACGTTCTCGTAACTATTTTGTTACAATGCCACGTGGACAAACCGCGTTACATCTTTCCAGATATTTTTGCCAGGTGTCCTTGTTGATGATTGGTCGAAATGAACCAATCGAATGTCAATTTAGGGTGTGCCCAAACGTGATTTCATTGGCTAGCGATTCTGAATAGCGACCGCATGTCGCACACGAAACACAGCATCGCATTGCGCACGTCGAAATTCCAGAACACCACAACCGGGACTACCATTGGCGTTTTGTTTTTGTTTTTGTTTTTTTTTTAATTTCCAATATTTAACAAGTACATACACTTTGAGTGCAACACAAGCCTACGACTGCACAACCGTCCATATGGACACATAACGACACATAGACACAACTGTCTGCACAGCCGCACGTCCATATGGACACATAGCGACTGAGCTCCTAAGACACATGGACACAACCCTTTGCACTACGGTTAGGAGCTTGCATAAAATAGGCCGCTCGTTATGAAACCTGCAATCAGGACAGCATCAACAAATCGTGACACGTGAGGAAAAAACCGTAACCACCAAAGTCTTACCGAAAACGCACACATACGAACCTGTATCCGCGCTAGCACATCCACCTGCACTGCACCGCACATGCACGCGAAAAGTACACGATACGCGTTAGCGACGATCGCGCTGCGATCACTCCGTCTCCCTCACCTGGCTGCGATCTCGCTGCTGCTTGCGCATTGCCACGCGAAAGTAAATGCAAATAGCAATCATATCGTGAGCGGAATCATCGAAACAAGGAAATGGCGACTCACCAGCACTGTCGTCGCCATCGGCTGCCCGGGTGGCGGCAGCATGTCGCCAGTCGCGCGGACGTAGATCTGACGCGCCCCTAGAAAAACTCCGGGGAATGGACTAGGCACTCACCGAATCTGTCGTATGAGGCGACGGTCGGCGGCTTCCCTTCGCGAAGCGTGCAGTGGTTCGTCATGGTGATGCAGAGATTAACCACTGGGGAGGGGGGGGGGGGAGGGAGGAGGGAGAATGGGAGATATAATTAACCACTGGGGAGGGGGAGGGAGGGGGGCGGGGGGGGGAGGGGGAGGCGTGCGGAGGTTCCTTCCGGTGACACGAGATGAACTACAAGGGTGGAAGGCTGGGAGGGCAGGGTGGAAGCAAAGGGGGGTAGATTCAGAGTGAGATGTGCATTTGCAAATAGCTTCAGAACTCAGTCGTTGATACCCGAAGTGTATAGACCAAGAATGATCGGTAGCTGCAAAAGTTGCTAGCAGGGGAATGGGGATTGTTTAATTTCTTGAAGGCGTCGCGAATGTAAGGAGGTAACATAGAGCACGTGGGATGCCTATTTCTTCCGGAGTAATGAGAGTAGGAATGAGGATGCCCGAGATCCTACAAACTGCTGAGAACGTTTGAAAGAGAGTTGGAGGCAGAAAGCATTTCTACGGCATAAGAGAATGGGACGGGTGGTAGGAGAAAGGGGGGTTGAGAGTGGTTTGAGGTTGCGCCTGCTGATGTGTGGATAAGGGAGGCTGGTGTGCGTTGATTGTGATTTTGTGCACTGCAACGATTGGTTGGAATCAGCGCTGGTGTCCAGATGAATGAACGTGAGGTTAGCTTGGAGGGGTGTAGTCAATGACGTGGAGCATCTGTGTTGGGAGGTGGTGCTGGGCCGAATGTGGATTGGTTGAAACAGCACGTCAGTTCGTAATATGACGCAAGTGCACAGCAATCATCGTTCATTTTCATATGTGCGAATCTCACGAATTTCGTGGCCCTGGTTTCTTCTTGTCGTTATACTTCGCGGATGCTGACGTTTTCCTAATCACTGTTTCGTGACTTGGGTTCACCACGTTCTGCAGAAGTGCCTCTGATGCACCGCTTGGAAACGCTTTCAACCGTATGCGAGACCAACCGTGCTTGAAATGCGCTTTCGTGTTCATGTTACATGCGCATAATCTTCGTGGACGTGATTTCGTGCACCAATCGAAGTAATTCTGGACGGGGCGCACATTGCGACTCAACCAGAATTTTCGATTCGTGAACATGAAATGGGCGGTGCGAGAGGCCCCACCAAGTGACTTTTGCGTCACTAGTGTTTTGGGATGTTTTGTGTACTATCTGGGACTTTTTGTACGTTTTTCCGTGACAAAACCTCCTAACCTCAAATTTGGACCTCAACCTTTTCCGCGATGCAGTTAATGAAACAGCCACTAAGCTGTTTTGGCAGAGTAGTAGTAGTAGGAAGTGCTCTTAGGAGAATTTCAGAGAGTTAGTAGCAAGATAGCTTTACAAGAGATCATATGATGGCATACATTTCAGAGATGCATCCTAATATACTACGATACTAGCATGGGCGCCTCGAGCTGGTCGCTCAGGTCGCCATTATTATTCCAAGAGCTAAGAACAGCAAGGCATTGTCACTATGATTATGTACACAAGATACTAGCCTTGTTGTCATATCCTAGAACCAATTAGCAAAGTCTAGGAATTCACTAAAGACACAGGCAGAGATTATTTGTCTTGTTGTCGTCCATGTTGTCGTTGATAATGATGACCACAAGCTCCGTTGGAAGTAGTCATGGCTGTAGGTAACTATGCTTGCTTGTGCTGTCAAGTACGTTGCTGCGCTGTTGGAATTCTCTGCCGTGCTGTGTCCAGCAGTAGAGTGCTCTCTGGAGTTGTTCCCACGGTTGGAAACTCAGAAAGTCGGGTCGCACATTTCAATGTTGGAGTTCCAACATTGAATTCCCGAAATGCACTTAGGGT